AGAGTGCGGTGACTGGCTGTTGTACACAAATCTTGTCAGCGTTGCGTGTAATTTGGCGGGAATGTGTCCTTCAAGCGGGCAACTCACCTGGCGGGCCCGGCCTCTCACACTCCATGTGTATTTCTATGTATATTGTTCACATGCGTATGTGTTCGTGTGTTTGTACATGTATGTGTTAAAGCTGTGATGGGCTATCTTCATTCCAACCACTTGGACTGGTCGGTATAAGGCGAATAAGTCGATTGTTGCAGGGTCCATCGGGTCATTATTATGACCCGATGGTCATAATAATGTTTGAGGCACTGGTTCTTCATCCCGGCCTCATAGCCTAGCGCCTTGTCCTTATATCCCAGCGCCTTGTCCTCATATCCCAGCGCCTTGTCCTCATATCCCAGCGCCATTTCCTCATATCCCAGCGCCTTGTCATCATAGCCTAGCGCCTTGTCCTCATATCCCAGCACCTTATCCTCATATCCCAGCGCCTTGTCCTCATATCCCAGCGCATTGTCCTCATATCCCAGCGCCTTATCCTCGTATCCCAGCACCTTATCCTCATATCCCAGCGCCTTGTCCTCATATCCCAGCGCCTTGTCCTCATATCCCAGCGCCTTATCCTCATATCCCAGCACCTTATCCTCATATCCCAGCGCCTTGTCCTCATATCCCAGCGCCTTGTCCTCATATCCCAGCACCTTGTTCTCATATTCCTTCCAAGTATTATACAGTAATACTGGCTTATCGCTTTCTCCTCATAATTACCTTTACTTTCTTTGCCTATGTATCATATTCATTCCTTCGGGATGTTGTAGTTCGCGTCCAATTGTATCATTAGCAAATAATCGTGGAAGCTTCTTTAGTGTCCCTTACACCACTAAGGTATAAGGGACAATCAGGACACGTACCAGTGTCCTGATTGTCATACCCGAATATTACCATAGGTTAAGATGTATTATCTTAGATCAGGATGTATTAGTCACGTATTAATCGACTAGAGGGTGCATCTGGGAATACCCAACGCATTGGTTCGAATCCTCATCATCCTCCTTTCTCAATTCTGACTTAGTCGCCATAACTGGAAACTGATGCACAGGTTTCGTAAGTGGATGTGTAAACACTTGATCAATTCCGAGCCCCCTTTGGTGAGACACTGCGTTGTTACGAGGGGAGAAAATGTAGGTTTTTGCTTCTATGTTGGTGTCAGGATACATTAGTAATACATTAGTGGTGTGTAATACATTAGTACTCCGTAGGGGGGGACTGTCGCCTCAGTGGGGGAGGGGGGGTGGAGTTGCAGGCGGGTGGATTCGTTATCAACGGTACCAACAGTGATACCATCATTACCAACAGTGATACCATCATTACCAACAGTGACACCATCATTACCAACAGTGACACCATCATTACCAACAGTGATACCATCATTACCAACAGTGATACTATCATTACCAACAGTGATACCATAATTGCCAACAGTGACACCATCATTACCAACAGTGATACCATCATTACCAACAGTGATACCATCATCACCAACAGTGACACCATCATTACCAACAGTGACACCATCATTACCAACAGTGATACCATCATTACCAACAGTGATACTATCATTACCAACAGTGATACTATCATTACCAACAGTGATACTATCATTACCAACAGTGATACCAGCATTACCAAGAGTGATACCATCATTACCAACAGTGACACCATCATTACCAACAGTGACACCATCATTACCAACAGTGATACCATCACTACCAAGAGTGATACCATCATTGCCAACAGTGACACCATCATTACCAACAGTGATACCATCATTACCAACAGTGACACCTTCGATATCAACAGTACCAACAGGAGGGCCATCATTGCCAGCAGTAAAATTATCATTATCATTACAACAATTGACAACAACGCCGTCATACTGATATCCATCAACATCACTATTACAATTACTTCGGCTTGGTGCCTTATTTGATAATTACTGATCATCACTATTACGCCCATCAACAGCATCACCGTCACCATTATAACACCTAACAACAACTCACCAATACAACTACCAAAAACAGTACCATCACCATTACAACAACCACACCACCACAACCACCACCACCAGCAATATCACCAACACCAACAAGAAGTTAGCAGAGAACAAGGATGTGCAGGCACCAGGAGAGTTGAACTGTACCGTAGCAAGTGATCCCACAGCCTCACCCCGGAGGCCAGCCCACTGGGTAATATAATATATATACCAGACGTGGGAACGCAGAAGGGTTTACACCATAGGTCAGGTTTGCTGGGTATAAATACATGTTACCTCACATGGGGCCCACACGGGAGACATCTCCCGTCACGCAGGGTGCAGTTGCACCTCCACAGATCTCCAGTATCAGCTCTTGATACTGGTAATGGCTCAAAAGGGCCACCACTAACGGGCTATTCATGCCCGTGCCACCTTTTGGGTGGCTTAAGCTTCATCAATCAATCAATCATGGGGCCCATATGCATTTTGCAACGTCTCGTGTTCTTATTTAATATTTAATTTGTGGTTTAGGAGGGCGCTGCTATTGGTGATAATTAATGTTTACACTAATGATCATTGGAACAGTTGATAATGATTATAAATATTTACATTGTGATGGTGAGAACAGCTGTTAATGCTTGTGTTTACATTATGGTGGAGAGAACAGCTGTTGATGCTTGTGTTTACATTGTGGCGGAGATAACAGCTGTTAATGCTTGTGTTTACATTGTGGTGGAGAGAACAGCTGTTAATGCTTGTGTTTACATTGTGGCGGAGATAACAGCTGTTAATGCTTGTGTTTACATTGTGGTGGAGAGAACAGCTGTTAATGCTTGTGTTTACATTGTGGCGGAGAGAACAGCTGTTGATGCTTGTGTTTACATTGTGGTGGAGAGAACAGCTGTTGATGCGTGTTTACATTATGGTGGAGAGAACAGCTGTTAATGCTTGTGTTTACATTATGGTGGAGAGAACAGCTGTTGATGCTTTGAAATTGAAATTGAAATAAGTTTATTGAGGTAAAATACACACAAAGGGATGAGGTAGCTCAAGCTATTCTTATCCCGTTCAGTACATCGTGTTAATACATACATAGACATATATCACAAGCAATAAACGTATTACCGAACATTCTGAGAGATAAACATATACATTTCCTCCTTTACACAAGTAGTATGGTATCAGACGTACACACAAATACTTTTATGACCTAGGTATACTGTATAGACAATTTGCAAGAGACATGCAGATAATTCAACAAAAGATTACAGTCTTGGTGCAAAATTCTTGTATCTCTCAAGAATATCATCAACCTTTCCGTTGTGACACATCCAGGCTATTTGTTTGTTTATTCAGATAAGGTACATATATATAAGTGATGTTACATTAATGGATTGATATATAGATAGAGCTAGTACATACAATGCCTAAAGCCACTATTACGCAATGCGTTTCGGGCAAGAAAAACATTAATATCTAGAACGTAATACTAATTGAGCATAAAGAATAAAAAGTGTTGAGAACAAATACAAATAAAGATAAAAAAAAGGGGGAACATGACTGAAAAAGCAGCACAAATACAATAGGTTGACAAACAGTGTTGATTAAAAAAAAATAACAGACATGGGTTGACAATAGAGGAGTGAGGTAGGTTACAGGGAATTTATTAGGTAGTGTTTAGTTTTTATCTTAAACTGGTTGAGAGAGGTACAGTCTTTACCATGGTTGGGAAGGTCATTACACATTCTGGGTCCCTTGATTTGTAGAGCATTTCTAGTTTGATTAAGTCGTACTCTAGGAATATCAAAACTGTATTTATTTCTGGTGTGGTGCTCATGGGTTCTGTTACAACCTTCAATGAAGCTTTTGAGGTCAGGATTGGCATTACAGTTCAGCGTTTTATATATGTATGCATTACAGTTCAGCGTTTTATATATGTATAATACACAAGAGAGAATGTGCAGTGACTTAATATCTAACATATTCAGAAATTTGAGTAAGGGTACCGAGTGATGTCTGGAGCCAGAGTTGGATATTGTCCTAATAGCAGCTTTGTGTTGGGTAATTAGAGGACGTAAATGATTTTGGGTAGTAGAACCCCAAGCACAAATACCATAGTTGAGGTATGGATAGATGAGGGAGTAATAGAGAGTAACCAGGGCAGGGCGGCGTACATAATATCTGATCTTAGAAAGAATGCCAACAGTTTTTGAAACTTTTTTTGATATATTTAGAATGTGTCCCTGGAAATTCAGCTTGTGGTCGATGAGAACGCCAAGGAATTTGCCGTCTAATTGTTACAAATTTGGGTATTGTTTATTTTGAGATTTATCTGATTAGAGGATTTATTGCCAAACAGAATATAAAACGTTTTGTCAATGTTAAGGGTGAGTTTGTTGGCAGTTAGCCAAAGATGGACTTTCTCTAGCTCAGTATTTACTGTGGCATTTAGAGCAAGGGGGTCAGGAGTGGAGTAAATGAAGGTTGTGTCGTCAGCAAATAGAATTGGTTTGAGGTGTTGGGAGGCATTTAGAAGGTCATTAATGTAGATGAGAAAGAGGAGAGGGCCAAGTATGCTGCCCTGAGGAACACCAATGTTGATGGGTAGGGTGGGAGAAATTGTATTATTCACAGAATTGAATTGAATTATTTGTTCAGGAACAGTCCTTATCTCAGTGTTTCTATATACATTAATCAACGGACAATCAAGAACATAATGGGCAAGAGTGTGAGACCTTAACATACCACATAGTTTACACTTCGTGTCATTATCATGAACACCTATCCCATATTCCCAGTTATATTTGCACCCAAGCCTGAGCCGCATGTGCAGAGTCACTCCAAGCATTTCTCCTTATCCCCTGTTGATGCTTGTGTTTACATTGTGGTGGAGATAACAGTTGTTAATGCTTGTGTTTACATTATGGTGGTAGTAGAAACAGCTGACTAATGTTTATCTCCCTTTCGACAGTCATCATGGAAGAGTCAGCGTGGCAGCGTGTCCGGGTACTTCCTCGCCTCTCGCAACATGCATTGGATCCCTGTGAGTACTGATGTAATGTTTGTGATACTCACCTGTATGTGCCTGCAGGGTGGGCGTCAGCTCCTGGGCCCGGTCTTTCAGTCAGTTCTTGACTGCCATTAATGTGTCCTGTCTGTTGTGGTCATGAGGCGTCTGTTAAGTCTCTCTCCCTGTCGTCTAGTAACTCATTTATTCAACTTTTCCTCAAAGCTGCTTAATCTAGTATTTCTTATGTTAGAATTATTTGTTATCATATTTTTTTTTAAATTATACTTTATTTTATTTAATTTGTTCTTCGTTTTATTTTTTTATTTTTTGAGGCTACCTTCAGCAAATGATCTCTATTAACTTGACAATTACTTCAAACCCTTCAACATCCAACACTGCGTCTTCGCTTTCTACAACTAGTACATTAAGACAAGAAATAGTATCACATATATGTTTCCTTATGAATCATCGTCAGTAACTCTTCATAAATATTGCCTATGTAATCTCTCCGTCTCCAAGGCAAATGAATATTAATGTTATTGTGAGGATGTTCTATAGCTGTTAATCTACGAGGGTAGCTGGAGACTAGATCCCCAACTGCTGCAAATGACAAAGTTCCAGACCGAGCTGTAGCTGTTGGTCCCCCCTCTCATGAGAGAATCTCCAGCTCTCTTAGGTCCATACTGTGCAAACTGAATACAATTGGCCAACATCGCAGTGTGCCCTCAGAAGGTCAGGAACAAGTCTTTCAGCAAACCTTTTGGCTTACCACAAAGTTCCTTAATTCTTATGTTTATAATCCATAATAACCTTCCTCCATATACCGCTGCCAGCTTGTGTATACATCTCCAGACACTTGTTCCCATACGCCGTGATACGTAAACATTGTCTAGTTTCTATCTCATATTCATATTATTAGCAATTGTTTTTATATTAATATGTTGTTACAGGTGTTTGATATTTTCTCCAATACTCCACATCTCGCATGACTGCCACTTTTAATACAAATTGCTATATTTGGCTATACATTTTCTGATGTAATTTTAAGTTATATCACTGAACCCAATAGGCTTTGGAACTATACATCAGTCGATTAGGGAATGAGAGGCGGGATCCAAGAGCCGTAGCTCAACTCCCGCAAGTACAAGTTAGTGAACCTCTGATAACAAATCTACAGACCACGCTGGTGTGTACACACCGGCAAGGTGTAATGTGTACACCGACACTCCCACAACAACAGGTGGGAGCGTCACTGTTGGTCTCCCACACTGACATTCTCTCCCACAACAACAGGTGGGAGCGTCACTGTTGGTCTCCCACACTGACATTCTCTCCCACAACAACAGGTGGGAGCGTCACTGTTGGTCTCCCACATTGACATTCTCTCCCACAACAACAGGTGGGAGCGTCACTGTTGGTCTCCCACACTGACATTCTCTCCCACAACAACAGGTGGGAGCGTCTCTGTTCGCCAGCAACATCGGGTCGGGTCACTTCATAGGCCTGGCTGGGTCCGGGGCCGCGGCTGGGATTGGTGTGGCGGGCTTCGAGCAGAGCGTGAGTTTTGTAGCATGTTCTTTGTAGTGTGAGTCTTGTAGCGCGACTTGTAGCTGTGTCTAATGCAATATACACGTTCACAAACTACGTGTGAAAGTTATGGAGATAAAGGTGTTGGTGTGGTCGCAGGCCGTGTACATCCTGATGCTGCTGGGGTGGCTGTTCGTGCCTGTGTACATGAGCTCCGGGGTGTACACCATGCCCGAGTACCTGAGAGAGAGGTTCGGCGGACAGCGGATCAGGGTCTACCTCTCCTTCCTGGCGCTCCTCCTCTACATCTTCACCAAGATCTCCGTCAGTATATACCGTCTTCTGTCTTCCTTGGTGTTGACACCATCAACTTTGTGTAACAAATAACTTTACAGACGTTTCTTGAATAACTGAATATCACACTTGTCACTGAAGTCGGTTATTTAATTGATTTGTGGTGCTTGATTTTTCCTTTTTAGATCTGTATATGAAAGTACTTAACACTAAGAATTTTTTTTCCTTGGCTAAATTCTGTATTTAAGGTCTGTTTCTCTACAAAAGTTGCGTCCTCAGACTGTGTGACTAACCAATTACGTCCTCAGACTGTGTAACTAACCGTGTCTGTCGACTAAAACAATCTCTGTGAACGTATATAAGATGCTATAACACCCACGTACAGGCGGACCTATACGCCGGAGCTTTGTTCATCCAGCTGGCGCTGAACAAGACGTCCCCAGAGTGGCTGTACCTGAGCATCCTCTTCCTGCTGGCCGTGGTCGCCATCTTCACCATCTCCGGGGGTCTCACCGCCGTGGTCTGGACCGACTTCGTCCAGACCATTCTCATGATCGTCGGGGCCTTCATCCTCATGGTCATGTGTGAGTCTCCCCTCACCTTCACCAGTTGATCCCATTTTCTCTTATCAATTATAATTTATTGTCGATCTAATATTATCAATCTAAGAAACAATGAATATAAGTTTGATCAGTTCTGAGTTGGGAAAGACCTGCGTATAAATACTGGTTTGAAAATCAGTTTGGAAATTGAAACTGGTTTTGCAATACCAGTTTCACCATAAGTGTTGGAAGTCACCTTTGTGGTTTCTAGAACTGGTTTAGAAATGTATTTGTAGAACAGATTATCTAAGTAATATTGTGGAGACGCGGGCCCACCTGATTGTTCCCAAGTAAAGGTTAGACCCATGTATGACTAAATTTGGGTGGATATATGTATATGTATATATATATATATATATATATATATATATATATATTGTGACGGTAACGCGTTGGTGTTCGGCTGTTTAAGGCTAGGGGTATGGCCTCGTCACATAGTTATAAAAAAAAATAGAAAAACTGGAACTTCGTCTGTGGTAAGGTAAGGAGAAGACACACAAAACACAAGTAAAACTTTAACAATGAAATTTTAATTACGTTAAATAAATCAAAACATGAAAATATGGACAAACAAATATGTATAATAAAATCAATCAATCAAAATAATAAGAATACTTAAATGACAAAATGAAAAGTTACGTTAAGGCAAAATAACAAGAAGTGCAACACAAAAGTTAAGTGGGAGGTGCTGGAATATTGGCTTAAAGCCACCACCTCTCTCAGTACACTCTAGAGTCTAGCTGGGAGGTGTGCTGGCTACGAAAGCACGGAACATTCTGAGGACTGATGTTGGGGCGACCCCAGACATCAGGTAGTATTGGGGGGCGAGGCAGGTGCAGCCAGACCGGCGACCAATCAGCGGAGCCGTAGCGATCAACGGGTAGTTTGGTGGTTGGAGTTCGAACAGGTGGCTGGCTGTATACGTTTCTGCTCACCCTGGCAAGCCTTGCTGGTGCTGGTGTTGTTGTCGTTGTTGGACATTTCTTCCATAGTCTTTTTATATAATTGTGAAGACGTAATTTTGGAGGGAAGAGCAGGCTCAATCTCTTGAAGGAGATTATCGTCACAATATATATATATATATATATATATATATATATATACATATTTGAGCCAACAGGTCTTCCGCATGTTGTTTTAAATTTAGCTACTCAGAACAAAATGTCCATGTAGTGGACACGGGCTATGGTGAGCCCGTAAGTCTTCCACAGTACTCTTGATTCTTATGATTATTAATACATAAATTGATAAATTGTAGGACCTGCCCGAAACGCTGCGCGTACTAGTGGCTGTACAAGAATGTAATTACTACCCTATGTATCCTCACAATCCCAATGTACCTTCCTGTATATATATAAATAAATAAATAAAACATATTTTCCTTTGCGGTTGGACAGCATTTATTGCTGTGGGAGGGTTCGAGTCCCTGGTGGAGCGCTTTGCCTACGCCACGGCCAGCGTGCGGGCGGTGGACGCAAGCAACAAGTCCTGCGGGGAGCCGCCTAGTGATTATATGCACCTCCGGACCATTGAGCCGGGCAAGAGTGACTACCCCTGGACGGGTATGGTCTTTGGTCTTACTATCAACTCCATCTGGTACTGGTGTACTGATCAGGTTAGTGACTGGTGTGTGTGTGGCGTCCAGGTGTGTGTGTGTGTAATTACCTAAGTGTAGTTACAGATGAGAGCTACGCTCGTGGTGTCCCGTCTTCCCAGCACTCTTTGTCATATAACGCTTTGAAACTACTGACGGTCTTGGCCTCCACCACCTTGTTACGACCCTGGGTTCTCCAGTGGAAACCAGAGGTCAAAACTGAGCTATTAAACTTTCTGGTAGTACAGTTTAGTGCATCGCGAGCGGCAATTGTTTGTATCTTCCCTGCCAGTCGTAAGACTATTATTGTTTCTCAAAGAGCATTTAAAGACTGAGCTGGGGGTTGATTATTAAATAATAACATAGGCATCAACTCTACTTACTAATACTTTCTAATCATTCATAGAGTAACAATACGTTGCATAGGGAAAGATCTTTAATGTGCTTAGCTGCACGATCAATTAGGCTCCTTCCGGCACCACGACATGAGGGAGGCCAGCTGGTCGCTAGGAGCTCTCTCTTCTCTGGCTGGCGTTCGTGCGGACAAGACCTACTCTGTGGCTGCACCCCTAATCTCCTCCCTTCTCCTCTTACTTATTTCCCTTACCCTAAGTTCCTGTACCCTTAAGTTAAGTATTATATGGTGTTAAGTGTGCCTACTCTGGTAGTAAATATTGGTGAGACCTGGGGATAGTATTTGCCAGTGTTTTGGGTACCCCTAAGTGTTGTGTTTTGTATTAGGGTACCACATGGTCTCACTACCCTAAGCTGCATCCAGCTTCAGTGCTTATCCAGTAGTACTTTACCCTAGCTTATTAGTGTAAACCTTGTATCCTGCCTAAGTGGACCAAGGCTTTTAACGTAAGATAGTGTGGTAAAGTTATTATTATTATTGTTATTGGTGTGAGTGTATTTGGGGGGTTGTTAAGGGGTTAATAAATAAGTACATGAATTACAGAGTATCCCTTCTTCCTATGTGGGAGCGCATTGATCAACCCTTAGACTAACATATATGGTCTAGTAGAAAGTTATTACTACTGTGGATAGTTTATTTTGGGGGCCGGGCCTTTTAGCTCTCCCATATTTGATACTCTTGTCTTCTAACTACCCTTACCCCTTAATAGTACCAGTACCCCATAGAAGCCCCACAATCATTTATAACACACCTTCTCACTTAACTTGTTCCAACCGTCTACCACTCTATTTGCGAAGGTGAATTTTCTTATATTTCTTCGGCATCTGTGTTTAGCTAGTTTAAATCTTTGACCTCTTGTTCTTGAAGTGCCAGGTCTCAGGAAATCTTCCCTGTCGATTTTATCAATTCCTGTTACTATTTTGTATGTAGTGTGTGTGTGTGTGTGTGTGTGTGTGTGTGTGTGTGTGTGTGTGTGTGTGTGTGTGTGTGTGTGTGTGTGTGTGTGTGTGTGTGTGGTATTAGGGGGTAGCATAAGGGCATCCAGGTGTGTGTGTCAGGTATCAGGATAGTCTCCATAAGGGTGTCCAGTTGTATAAGGTATTGCTACCATGTGACATCATCTCCACGTAGTATCACCACCATATATGTGACACCACGTAGCATCAGCACCATATATGTGACACCACGTAGCATCAGCACCATATATGTGACCACCTCCACGTAGCATCACCACCATATATATGTGACACCACGTAGCATCACCACCATATATGTGACATCACCTCCACGTAGCATCACCACCATATATATGTGACACCACGTAGCATCACCACCATATATGTGACATCACCTCCACGTAGCATCACCACCATATATATGTGACACCACGTAGCATCACCACCATATATGTGACATCATCACCATATATGTGACATCACCTCCACGTAGCATCACCACCTTATATGTGACACCACATGACCTCACCAGCATATATATGTGACCTCACCACTACAGGTTATCGTGCAGCGCACACTAGCGAGCAAGAACATGAGCCACGCCAAGGCGGGATGTATCCTGGCCGCCTACCTCAAGTTCCTGCCGCTGTGGCTCCTGGTGTTCCCCGGGATGGCCGCCAGGGTGCTCTACCCGGAGCGCGTCGCCTGCGCCACTCCCGACCTCTGTAAGGCCATCTGCGGCAGCCCCGGCGGCTGCTCGAACATTGCCTACGCTGAGCTCGTCCTCAACCTCCTCCCTACAGGTGACATTATAAATGACAATCATTCCTTTTGTCGGGGACACCGAGCCAATATAGACAGGGGAACCTGCTGCATGGGTAACAGCTTCTCTGTATCAAAATCTCTGTATTCTCTCCTTCTCTTTGATTGTGTTAAATTATCATGTATTCAAACCATACAGGTTCCTGTAGCACAGAGGTTTACGTTCTGTGCTCACTGCCGAGGGGACCCGGGTTCAATCCCCCAGGCAGGACAGAGACACGGTTGGGCACGTTTAATCTGACCTGATGCCTCTGTTCACCTAGTAGTAAAAAGAGGTACCTGGGAGCTATGCAGCTGTTGTTTGTTGCATCAAGGGGGAAAAAGTCAATAGTTGACAACAGGCTTTGTGTCCCTGACAATGGAAATGATATTGTTTATTGCTAGACATCACTATTGTAGTTGATGTGTCTTACTCTGAGTGACACTGTCTTCCTCTGAGTGACGCTAGCATCCTCTGAGTGACACTAGCATCCTCTGAGTGACACTAGCATCCTCTGAGTGACACTAGCATCCTCTGAGTGACAATGTCTTCCTCTGAGTGACACTAGCATCCTCTGAGTGACAATGTCTTCCTCTGAGTGACACTAGCATCCTCTGAGTGACACTAGCATCCTCTGAGTGACACTAGCATCCTCTGAGTGACACTAGCATCCTCTGAGTGACAATGTCTTCCTCTGAGTGACACTAGCATCCTCTGAGTGACAATGTCTTCCTCTGAGTGACACTAGCATCCTCTGAGTGACACTAGCATCCTCTGAGTGACACTAGCATCCTCTGAGTGACACTAGCATCCTCTGAGTGACACTAGCATCCTCTGAGTGACAATGTCTTCCTCTGAGTGACACTAGCATCCTCTGAGTGACAATGTCTTCCTCTGAGTGACACTAGCATCCTCTGAGTGACACTAGCATCCTCTGAGTGACACTAGCATCCTCTGAGTGACATTAGCATCCTCTGAGTGACACTAGCATCCTCTGAGTGACACTAGCATCCTCTGAGTGACACTAGCATCCTCTGAGTGACACTAGCATCCTCTGAGTGACATTAGCATCCTCTGAGTGACACTAGCATCCTCTGAGTGACACTAGCATCCTCTGAGTGACAATGTCTTCCTCTGAGTGACAATGTCTTCCTCTGAGTGACACTAGCATCTCTGAGTGACACTAGCATCCTCTGAGTGACACTAGCATCCTCTGAGTGACACTAGCATCCTCTGAGTGACACTAGCATCCTCTGAGTGACATTAGCATCCTCTGAGTGACACTAGCATCCTCTGAGTGACACTAGCATCCTCTGAGTGACATTAGCATCCTCTGAGTGACACTAGCATCCTCTGAGTGACACTAGCATCCTCTGAGTGACAATGTCTTCCTCTGAGTGACAATGTCTTCCTCTGAGTGACACTAGCATCCTCTGAGTGACAATGTCTTCCTCTGAGTGACACTAGCATCCTCTGAGTGACACTAGCATCCTCTGAGTGACACTAGCATCCTCTGAGTGACACTAGCATCCTCTGAGTGACAATGTCTTCCTCTGAGTGACACTAGCATCCTCTGAGTGACACTAGCATCCTCTGAGTGACAATGTCTTCCTCTGAGTGACACTAGCATCCTCTGAGTGACACTAGCATCCTCTGAGTGACAATGTCTTCCTCTGAGTGACACTAGCATCCTCTGAGTGACACTAGCATCCTCTGAGTGACACTAGCATCCTCTGAGTGACAATGTCTTCCTCTGAGTGACAATGTCTTCCTCTGAGTGACACTAGCATCCTCTGAGTGACACTAGCATCCTCTGAGTGACAATGTCTTCCTCTGAGTGACACTAGCATCCTCTGAGTGACAATGTCTTCCTCTGAGTGACACTAGCATCCTCTGAGTGACACTAGCATCCTCTGAGTGACACTAGCATCCTCTGAGTGACACTAGCATCCTCTGAGTGACACTAGCATCCTCTGAGTGACACTAGCATCCTCTGAGTGACATTAGCATCCTCTGAGTGACACTAGCATCCTCTGAGTGACACTAGCATCCTCTGAGTGACAATGGCTTCCTCTACGTGGCTTCCATACTTCAGGTCTCTCTGGGCTGATGTTGGCGGTGATGATGGCGGCCCTCATGTCGTCCCTCACCTCCATATTCAACTCGGCGTCCACCATCTTCACCATCGACGTGTGGACGCTGGTGAGGGCCAGGCTGGTCAAGAGGCTGCACCTGTCAGCCCAGCCCTCGGACGCCGAGCTGCTCATCGCCGGCCGCCTCTTCGTCCTCGCCCTTGTCGCCGTCTCTGTTGTCTGGATCCCCGTTATTCAGTAAGTGTGGCAACGTTATTTACCTGAATTTACCTGAGGGGTCTCTATTACTAGTGGCCTTGATGAGGATAGGATGCCGGCGGCTTGTCAAAGGTCCCCCTATTTGCCCTGATGATTTTTTCCAGCAGTATTTTACAACCCAGAAGGGTTTTGGAGTTTATGGCCTCGGCGGGTAGGCGGTACCACAGGTTTAAAACCCAAAAGCGTTTCCTGTTTTCTGTCCTACTTCTTGTTTTCTATATACTTCCGCTTATTCTGTAATACAACGGTTATACACAGAGAAATCACATTATCGTGATATATCAATGAATAACGCCACAGAGCCGTAATGGAAGTTCGAACCTATGGGCTGGGTGTTCCCAGGCGCCCTGGCTGGCGTAGTCGACAAGAGCGTGCCTGGGAACACCCAAAACATAGGTTCGAACCTCCATTACGGCTCCTGTGGAGTTGTACAGCGGTTATGGTTCCTGTTATTCACCCGCCAGTGTGCACTGATGAATTCGTATCTATATTTACTTGAGTCACCCCTGCTCCTCTATATTTACTTGCGTCACCCCTGCTCCTCTATATTTACTTGAGTCACCCCTGCTCCTCTATATTTACTTGAGTCACCCCTGCTCCTCTATATTTACTTGAGTCACCCCTGCTCCTCTATATTTACTTGAGTCACCCCTGCTCCTCTATATTTACTTGAGTCACCCCTGCTCCTCTATATTGACTTGAGTCACCCCTGCTCCTCTATCATTTTTCCCTGCCTCTTAGGACTCTTCACATGTACACTCTCTCGAGTATGTACTCAGTTAAACTTGCTCAAGTCCCTAAGTGCGTCACAAAATCATAGTTTGAGGGGAGGTTATCTTGAGATCTTGAGATGATTTCGGGGCTTTAGTGTCCCCGCGGCCCGGTCCTCGACCAGGCCTCCACCCCCAGGAAGCAGCCCGTGACAGCTGACTAACACCCAGGTACCAATTGCCTAATGCATTCCATTTGTCAACTAATCTGACACAATTTTTTTTATAATGTTTCTATTTCTTATTTGAGTACTTAATTTCCACCTGTGTCCCCTAGTGCATGTGGCCCTTGAGTTAAGTAGTCTTTATCTACTCTATCAATTCCTTTGAGAATCTTGTATGTGGTGATCATGTCTTCCCTAACTCTTCTGTCTTCCAGCGACGTGAGGTTTAATTCCCGTAGTCTCTCCTCGTAGATCATACCCCTCAGTTCGGGTACTAGTTTGGTGGCAAACCTTTGAACCTTCTTTAGTTTAGTCTTATGCTTGACTAGATATAGACTCCATGGTGGAGCTGCATACTCCGGGATTGGTCTGACATATGTGGTACACAAAGTTCTGAATGATTCCTTACACAAGTTTCTAAAAGTCGTTCTTATATTAGCCAACCTGGCATATGCTGCTGATGTTATCCTCTTGATGTGGGATTCAGGGGACAGGTCTGGCGTGATATCAACCCCCCAGGTCTTTCTCTCTCTCTCTGACACTTGAAGTATTTCATCTCCCAAATGATACCTTGTATCTGGTCTCTTTCTCCCTACACCTATCTTCATTGCATTACATATACTTGGGTTAAACTCTAACAATCATTTGTCGGACCATTCCTTCAGTTTGTCCAGGTCTTCTTGAAGCCTCAAGCTGTCCTCGCGCGTGTGCGTGTGTGTGTGTAATTACCTAAGTGTAATTACCTAAGTGTAGTTACAGGATGAGAGCTACGCTCGTGGTGTCCCGTCTTCCCAGCACTCTTTGTCATATAACGCTTTGAAACTACTGACGGTCTTGGCCTCCACCACCTTCTCACTTAACTTGTTCCAACCGTCTACCACTCTATTTGTGATGTGTGTGTGTGTGTGTGTTACGACCCTGGGTTCTCCAGTGGAAACCAGAGGTCAAAATTGAGCTATTAAACTTCCTGGTAGCACAGTTGGGCATCTAGAATGTCAATTGTTTGTATCTTCCCTGCCAGACGTAAGACTATTATTGTTTCTCAAAGAGCATTTAAAGACTGAGCTGGGGGTTGATTATTAAATAATAACATAGGCACCAACTTTGCTTACTAATACTTTCTAATCATTCATAAAGTAACAATACGTTGCATAGGGGAAGATCTTTAATGTGCTTAGCTGCACGATCAATTAGGCTCCTCCCGGCACCACGACATGAGGGAGGCAGCTGGTGGCTAGCTCGGGCTTCTCTTGGCTGGTGGCGTGAGGTTAAGACCTACTCTGTGGCTGTATCCCTACTCTCCTTCCTTCTCCTCTTACTTATTTCCCTTACCTGAAGTTCCTGTACCCTTAAGTTAAGTATTATATGGTGTAAGTGTGCCTACTCTGGTAGTAACTATTGGTGAGACCTGGGGTTAGTATTTGCCAGTGTTTTGTTTACCCTAAGTGTTGTGTTTTGTATTAGGGTCCCACGTGGTCTCACTACCCTAAGCTGCATCCAGCTTCAGGGCTTATCCAGTAGTACTTTACCCTAGCTTGTTATTAGTGTAAACCTTGTATCCTGCCTATGTGGACCAAGGCTTTTAACGTAAGATAGTGTGGTAAAGTTATTATTATTGTTATTGGTGTGAGTGTATATGGGGGGTTGTTAAGGGGTTAATAAATAAGTACATGAATTACAGAGTATCTCTTCTTCCAAGGTGGGAGCGCAGTGATCAACCCTTAGACTAACATTTATGGTCTTGTAGCAAGTTATTACTACTGTGGATAGTTTATTTTGGGGGCCGGGCCTTTTAGCTCTCCCATATTTGATACTCTTGTCTTCTAACTACCTATACCCCTTAATAGTACCAGTACCCCATAGAAGCCCCACTCATATCAGTTGTAACAGTGTGTGTGTACATAACTACACACTATAAGGATAACGTGCATCACTTCACAAAGGCACAGCAGAGGTGACGGTGCTTGACTTGTCCACAGGAGCACGGGCAACTCGCAGCTGTTCGACTACGTGCAGAGCATCTCCGCCTTCCTGGCCCCGCCCATATGCGCCGTCTACCTCCTCGCTCTCTTCTGGACAAGAACCAACGAGCCAGTTAGTACCCAACCTCTCGTCTGGTAACTCTTCATAAACAGGGACTAACTCGCAATAATAACGTAGCTAGGCAAATAATCCAATCACAAATACGTGAGATAAGGTGACGACGTTTCGGTTCGTCTTGAACCGTTATCAAGTTGTATTCGACTTGATCTTTGGACGTTCCGAAACATCGTCACGCATTTCATTTCGCATATTTTTGTTGTAAATTAATGTTTTGGGCAATAAATTCAGAGAAGCTGTTAGTAAAAAGGAGTTTGGTGCAGGCATTTTCATGTGTGTGTAATAGAGAAGTGCTGCATGATATTGGAAGGCTATATACTAAGCTGTGCTCCCCCCCCCCTACAGGGTGCGTTCTGGGGCCTGATGATTGGACTGGCTATTGGACTCCTGCGCTTCATCCTGGAATTCTCCAACGTCGTGCCTCCCTGCGGCTCAGGTCACTCGCCCTACGCTTCTATCTTTTGTTCTCTACTGAGGGGTCATTGGTGTAATGTTTACCTTCTTATTCTCTACTGAGGGATCATTGGTGTAATGTTTACCTTCTTATTCTCTACTGAGGGATCATTGGTGTAATGTTTACCTTCTTATTCTCTACTGAGGGATCATTGGTGTAATGTTTACCTTCTTATTCTCTACTGAGGGATCATTGGTGTAATGTTTACCTTCTTATTCTCTACTAAGGGATCATTGGTGTAATGTTTACCTTCTTATTCTCTACTGAGGGATCATTGGTGTAATGTTTACCTTCTTATTCTCTACTGAGGGGTCATTGGTGTAATGTTTACCTTCTTATTCTCAACTGAGGGATCATTGGTGTAATGTTTACCTTCTTATTCTCTACTGAGGGATCATTGGTGTAATGTTTACCTTCTTATTCTCTACCGTTAACGTCAATTTTATATCAGTCAGTCAATTAATGAGATAAGACTCTCGTAAAATATTTCATCCAGGAGCCACTCTGAGGCTCTATGGGTAGACAACCATCCTGAAGCCAAAGCCGAAACCTGTGCATCTTTACTCCATCATGGCGGCTGAATCTGTGTGTATTAAACAATTGAAGAGCTTGGAATCCCAACGAAGTCGTTCTCGAGCCAAGTTTATTATTGCTAAAGACACCCCTCGTATAGAGCTTTGGAACTCATAAACTATTGAATAAATGCACACTAAGCCGCCATCATTAAGGAAGATGTACAGGTTTCGTAAATAGACTCGTATAAAGGCTTGGTAAATCGAGGTCAGGCTGAGTTCCAGGCAACACGTAACTAAATCGTGCGGTGTGGAAACATGGTTGCTGACCTGTGGCACAGATTACCCGGTAGTGTAACATACAGTACTTGGTTCACTGGATTATTTCATGTCTTGGTTAGACGCTTGGGATATGTATGAATTTGGGTGGATATAAATAGGAGCCGCCTCGTATGGCTCAACAGACAAGTTACAGCCCCGCTCCTGTGCTAGGTAAGTCCACTACGGGCTCACCATAGCCCGTGCTACTTGGAACTTTTGTTCTGAGTAGCTGAATCTAAAACAACATCGTATGGCTCAACAGAGAAGTTACAGCCCCGCTCCTGTGCCAGGTAAGTCCACAACGGGCTCACCATAGCCCGTGCTACTTGAACTTTGTGTTCCAAGTAGCGAATCTTAGCATATGGCTCAACAGGCCTACTGCAACTTCCTTAATGCTAACGTTGTTATTGTCGTGGCACAGATGAACCAGACATGAGGTCAGACTTCGTGAGGGTGGTGGTGGGCAGGGTTCACTACCTTCACTTCAGCTGCTTCCTCTTCCTCATCACAATAGGAGTCACCGTCGGCTTCTCACTCTTGACGGAGCCCATCCCTGAGGACCGTGTGAGTATCTCAGTCTCTGCTTGTCTCAAACTATTACCAGAAAGTTTGATTGATTGATTGATGAAGATTAAGCCACCCAAAAGGTGGCATGGGCATGAATACCCCGTAAGTGGTGGCCCTTTTGAGCCATTACCAGTATCATTACCTGATACTGGAGATCTGTGGAGGTGCGACTGCACCCTGCGTGACGGGAGATGTCTCCCGTCGGAGAAAGTTTCAAGGCATTACGTCTATATAGCACTGGGAAGGGGTCAGGATAAGCATTTGGGATGGGACGAAGAGGGGGGGGGAGAGGAATGGTGCCCAACCACTTGGACGGTCGGGGATTGAACGCCGACCTGCATGAAGCCAGATTGTCGCTCTACCGTCTCATCCCTAAGGATGAGTCTGGGTGAGTCTACTAGTGTGAGTGAGGTTATCCGTGAGGACGGTGTGAGTATCGTGAGTGTCTGTATGGCTCTGTTATCCCCCCCGCCTCTGACCTATCCCAGCTACAGTAATCCCAGGCATGGGATCATTCAGTTTATACACAGTGACATGGCCTGCGGTCAGAGTTTCTTTCACTCTGATGTCCCTGTTACCTAGCAGTGAATGGGTACCTGGGAGTTAGACAGCTGCTACGGGCTGCTGCTTCCTGGGGGTTGTGTAACAAAAAGGAGGCCTGGTCGAGAACCGGGTCGCAGGGACGCTAAGCCCCGAAATCATCTCAAGATAACCTCAAGAAGATCGTGTTTCATCAACTACACTATTGTGCCTGACCATCTCTTCTTCTATATAACTTCTTAATCCCACGCAGCCTCCTTCATCTCCTCTCAACACCCCCCCCCCTACCCCACACATACCAAACAACCGGTCCGAGAATGGTCCAGGACGGACCGAAACGTCGTCGTCCCTTCACCTTCTAGTGTGTGGTCTGGTCAACATACCAAACAACCATTATCACCCCTCTGATTAATGTCTGTCTTTTGTATGCTCAACAAATTAGCATCTCATTTGCATACAATGACAGCGGCAAGGATAAATGTGTCACATTGTGTCACTTGTAGGGCAGAGGTACAGCCTGTTTGGTTGTTAGCTGACGTGTAACATCACCAGTGGTCATATATGCTATGGTAACGTCACTGATGTAGGACTGGGGGGTGGGAGGAGACAGACAATCCCTGGGCACCAGCGGGTGTGTGTGTATATATATATATATATATATATATATATATATATATATATATATATATATATATATATATATATATATATATATATATATATATATATATATATATATACATATATATATAAGAATTATTTGTTTATGTGTGTGTCTGGCCAAGTAGGAGGTTAGATATTTGGGGTTAGTCTTCACCCAGATGTCTAGGTAAGGGGATAGACCAGTCTGGGGTATGGGACGGACATAGGCTGGCCAGGGTAGCCATAAGTTAACTTGCTTGACGAAATGTTGCCTGTAACTCAAACACCCAAATGAGGACAATGGTCATGAAATCGGAAATGAGATTGGACGTGTATTGTCCGTAGAGTATTCAATGGCTCCCGCCGTTTGCCTACGCATTTTCATGATTTACTCTATATATAAATGGAAACGTGCATTTGTTTGGGAAGGAAAGAGGTAGGGAAAGTGAAGAGGGGTGATGGAAGTATACCAACTACTATAGGGCATCCGTCCTAGTATACCTGCAGTGAGAATGTCTATTTGTCTGCCTGTCTGTCTGTCCAAAGTTGGAGAGGTGGTGTAGTAACGTGTTATCTCCTCGAACAGCTGTACAGACTGACGTTCTGGTCCCGCCAAGACCCACGAGTGAGGCGCACCCTGGCGGCTCCCGGCGACCCCCACGACCCGGTGGCTGAGGATGAGATCAAGACCTCAGCTAATGGCACCGAACAGATGGACCTCGAAACTCCACACTCAGGTACTGGTGTGTGTGTGTGTGTGTGTGTGTGTGTGTGTTCTGGTGGTATGATGCTATGTTGGTGATGGAGTGTGGTGTCATCATCCTCCTCCTCCTCCTCCTCCTCACTGTCATCAATGACAGCTTCAAGATCATCATCATCATCATCATCATCATCATCATCATTATTATCAGCTACGTCAGTAGCGTCATCACTTGCCTTTAACCGTTATCAGTCATCACCACTAACCTTTATCACCATTTCCATCCATCATGTTTATTTATATCATCACCACCATCATCAAGGCTTTCATTATCAGCATTGGTATTCATTATTAACATACCGTCGTCATCATTATTGGCCATCATTATCATCACCAGCATAATCATTGTCATGATCATTAATCACTATTACACCATATCTGACATTGATGGAAACAAACTAAGATGAAAACGGAGAATAACCAAGTAATTACCATCAGAAAAAGAAGGCACTTAGCTGGGAAAACTGTGTACCACACACACACACACACACACACACACACACACACACACACACACACACACACACACACACACACACACACACACATTATTATTAGGTGAGTACACACTATTAGGTGAGTACACACATACACACAGGCAGGTGTAGCTGGTAAGGTGCTCCAGTGGATAAGGGAGTATCTAAGCAATAGGAAGCAGAGAGTTACGGTGAGGGGTGAGACCTCCGATTGGCGTGAAGTCACCAGTGGAGTCCCACAGGGCTCTGTATTCGGTCCTATCTTGTTTCTGATATATGTAAATGATCTCCCGGAGGGTATCGATTCATTTCTCTCAATGTTTGCGGACGATGCTAAAATTATGAGAAGGATTAAAACAGAAGAGGACTGTTTGAGGCTTCAAGAAGACCTAGACAAGCTGAAGGAATGGTCGAACAAATGGTTGTTAGAGTTTAACCCAACCAAATGTAATGTAATGAAGATAGGTGTAGGGAGCAGGAGGCCAGATACAAGGTATCATCTGGGAGAGGAAATTCTTCAGGAGTCAGAGAAGGAAAAGACTTGGGGTTGATATCACGCCAGACCTGTCTCCTGCAGCACATATCAAGCGGATAACATCAGCGGCATATGCCAGGCTGGCCAACATACGAGCGGCATTCAGAAACTTGTGTAAAGAATCATTCAGAACTTTGTATACCACATATGTCAGGCCAATCCTGGAGTATGCAGCCCCAGCATGGAGTCCATATCTAGTCAAGGATAAGACTAAACTGGAAAAGGTTCAAAGGTTTGCCACCAGACTAGTACCCGAGCTGAGAGGTATGAGCTACGAGGAGAGACTACGGGAATTAAACCTCACTTCGCTGGAAGACAGAAGAGTTAGGGGGGACATGATCACCACATTCAAGATTCTGAAGGGGATTGATAGGGTAGATAAAGACAGTCTATTTAACACAAGGGGAACACGCACAAGGGGACACAGGTGGAAACTGAGTGCCCAAATGAGCCACAGAGATATTAGAAAGAACTTTTTTAGTGTCAGAGTGGTTGACAAATGGAATGCATTAGGGGGTGATGTGGTGGAGGCTGACTCCATACACAGTTTCAAGTGTAGATATGACAGAGCCCGATAGGCTCAGGAATCTGTACACCTGTTGATTGACGGTTGAGAGGCGGGACCAAAGAGCCAGAGCTCAACCCCCGCAAACACAACTAGGTGAGTACAACTAGGTGAGTACACACACACACACACACACACACACACACACACACACACACACACACACACACACACACACACACACACACACACACACACACACACACACACACACACACACACACACACACACACACACACACACACACTCAAGAGTTAGGGTTCAAATAGCCTACCTTGGAGAATATAAACAATAGCCTACCAAGGTAGGATTTAAGTAGCCTACCTTAGTTCAAGTAGCTTGGAGAATATAACAACATGTTCTCCACAGAGCTGCCGTTATGGCGGCGGTGTCTGAACACAGCGTGCGGGGTCTCCAAGACCGCCGCTGTTCCTGAAAATCCACTGAACCAGTTGACGGAAGAAGAGAAGGCTCAGGCTGCCGCTGACTTCCTCGACGAGCCGCCCTTCTGGAGGAAGTAAGTCACCTTTCTACTTGTCCTTATTCCAAGTGAGCCACAGTCTTCATCCTGTGTTGCGTGCACCTGTTTTTTTTTGCTCATAACTCTCACTTTATTTTGGTTTAATGTTCTTGTTACTTGAGAGCCGCCATCTATTGTAGGACAGATTTTCTCTGCGTTTATTTTATTTTATTCATTGGGGAAGGAAGTTCCATAATTAACTCGAGAAAAGTTAATAAATACTGTAATATATATTAAATGTGGGTGGGAAGGTTGTTAGTCTATGGGCCAGATTCACGAAAGCACTTACGCAAGCACTTACGAACTTGTACATCTTTTATCAATCTTTGGCGGCTTTGTTTCCAATTATTAAACAGTTCATGAGCTCCGAAGCACCAGGAGGCTGTTTATAACGATAACAACAGTTGAATGGGAAGTTTTTATGCTTGTAAACTGTTTAATAAATGTAACCAAAGCCGTCAAGATTGAGGAAAGATGTACACGTTCGTAAGTGCTTGCGTAAGTGCTTTCGTGAATCTGGCCCTAGAAGACTAGCGACTTGTAAACACAACGAGCACATGAGAATGTTGGAAGTGTTCTGTGGGATGGTCAGGAACGGGGCTGTGTCTGGAAGAATGTATGGAGTTTTTGCTGCGTGATGCTGGGTGTCTGAGGTAGTGTGCTGGGGTCAGCCCCATGTGCTGGGGTCAGCCCCTTGTACTGGGGTCAGCCCCCTGTGCTGGGGTCAGCCCCCTGTGCTGGAGTCAGCCCCATGTGCTGGGGGTCAGCCCTATGTGCTGGGGTCAGCCTCATGTGCTGGGGTCAGCCCCATGTGCTGGGGTCAGCCCCATGTGCTGGGGTGAGCAGTATGTGAGTTGTGAAATTAACTTTGTAGCCAGTGTATAGGCCTATGATTTTTTGTATTTAAGTTATATTGTTTATTTTGAGATTTAATATATTTTATGATTTCGTTCCAAACATTTGAATAAAAAAAAATTCAAAAAATTCAAAAATAAGTTATGTTTAGGTATGTAATGTTGTGAGTTCTATATAGTAATACTAATAATAATATTTTATTTAGGAAAATTACATACATAGATGCAGAGTTACAAACATTCTGATGGGTTTATAGATAGAGCTAGTACATATAATACCTAAAGCCACTAGTACGCATAGCATTTCGGGCAAGGACTAACGTTTGTTGCTGAATTATAGAGCCCGACTTCCTAAAATTAGAGAACTTAGAGTAACGATGCGGTCGATTGTCGAAAGATGAACGTGATGGACCAATAGAAAGTAGACGTTTGCTGTAGTGCATTTGGACACACCGGAAAAACGTTTTGGTATATTGCTAATGAAACCTAACCTAAGCTAACCATCCTAGGCCTAACACACGCTTTCTGAGGCCTAATATAGTACATATAGGTGCTATACTAAGCCTAGGAATATATAAGTTTCCGCTTTTAACTTTATTTTTGTCTGGTCTGTCAAATGTATAGTACCAAATTCTCCTTTCTCTTTGTTGATGTCGTCCATATTGGTTCCATCTGGTCAGGAGGATGGGTTGGAATTATAAGGTAAATTTGTGTATAATTTTTATGTTTCTTCCAAACAGTGTGTTGAACGTAAACGCTGTGATTTGCCTGGCCCTCACTACGTTCGTCTGGGGCTTCTTCGCCTAGCTGCCCACCTCCAGTGGCTTCGTCTGGGGCTTCCTGGCCTGGCTGCCCACCTCCAGTGGCTTCGTCTGGGGCTTCCTGGCCTGGCTGCCCACCTCCAGTGTCTTCGTCTGGGGCTTCCTGGCCTGGCTGCCCACCTCCAGTGTCTTCGTCTGGGGCTTCCTGGCCTGGCTGCCCACCTCCAGTGTCTTCGTCTGGGGCTTCCTGGCCTGGCTACCCACCTCCACTACCTTCGTCTGGGGCTTCCTGGCCTGGCTGCCCACCTCCACTACCTACATCTGGGGCTTCCTGGCCTGGCTGCCCACCTCCACTACCTACATCTGGGGCTTCCTGGGCCCCTCCATTACCTACATCAAATTTTAGTCTGGTGTATTTTAATAAATATTTGTTAATATATTGAGCTGTTTTATGTTGTTATAATGTGAATATCACTGACTATAAATACTGGTATGTGTATTTGTGGAAAGCTGAGCTTCTGTGTATGTCAGAGTTCGGCAATGATGGTTATGCATGAATGCATGTATAGAGTATATGTATTTATCTATGTCTGCATATGTATTCTGCCAGTGGCACTTGTGGGGAGCGAGCTCCAGCTCCTGGGCTTCGCTTTTCATTCACTTATTGATAAGACAAACTCTGCGAATTTGTCGCGTGTGAATATGAGTTGGTGTGTGTGTGTTTGTGGAGCTTGTCCACGCTGCTTCCTCTCACTGTGTGTGTTCAACTCTGTCTCTCTCTCTCTCTGTTCCACTCCTCTCTCTGTCTGTCTGTCTGTCTCTCTCTCTCTCTCTCTCTCTCTCTCTCTCTCTCTCTCTCTCTCTCTCTCTCTCTCTCTCTCTCTCTCTCTCTCTCTCTCTCTCTCTCTCTCTCTCTCTCTCTCTCTCTCTCTCTCTCTCTCTCTCTCTCTCTCTCTCTCTCTCTCTTCTCTCTCTCTCTCTCTCTCTCTCTCTCTCTCTCTCTCTCTCTCTCTCTCTCTCTCTCTCTCTCTCTCTCTCTCTCTCTCTCTCTCTCTCTCTCTCTCTCTCTCTCTCTCTCTCTCTCTCTCTCTCTCTCTCTCTCTCTCTCTCTCTCTCTCTCTCTCTCTCTCTCTCTCTCTCTCTCTCTCTCTCTCTCTCTCTCTCTCTCTCTCTCTCTCTCTCTCTCTCTCTCTCTCTCTCTCTCTCTCTCTCTCCTCTCTCTCTCTCTCTCTCTCTCTCTCTCTCTCTCTCTCTCTCTCTCTCTCTCTCTCTCTCTCTCTCTCTCTCTCTCTCTCTCTCTCTCTCTCTCTCTCTCTCTCTCTCTCTCTCTCTCTCTCTCTCTCTGTTCCACTCTTCTGTCTCTCTCTAGCTGATTCTTCACTCTCTGTGTGTGCCTTCTCAACGGTATGTCATTCCCCTTTCAGCTTGGGTGCCTATGGCCACTTTGTGAATTCCACTGATTATCTTGTGTGTCGTGGTCATGTGCTCTCTTAAGCTTTCTGTTCTTAGAATATCAATATTTTAGAATATAATATTTTAGAATATAAAATTCCCTCTTCTGTAAGCATATTCCTCCCATGTTATTTAATTATTTCATTCTGATTCCTTCGTCGAGCAATTCACATTAATAGTACAAGATCTCATTTTCTAAGACATTTCTCGCAAACATTTGTGTAATGTCGTATAAGTGTTGATTATGCATAAAGTCAGTAAGCATTAGAACACACCTAGTAGCACTCTGTCTTATTGTACAAGAGTGGCTGATGTAGCACTGAAGACATTATAATTCTTCATTATAAATAAAATAATTACATTATTGTGTACGTTACAATGTTCCTCCCAAGTTGTCATTATGTGTTTGTGATTCTTGTGTATATCTGTGATGGTATAAACTGATGTGTATATATCTCTATGCAAGTTAAACCATTGGAATTTGATGTTATATATTTTGACAATGGCCGGTAGATGTCTCGCCACTAATGATAAGTCTCTGGTGTGTTATTCAATTGATAGTTCACCATTAAAAGTATTATAGTTGTACATTTGTTCAGTCCCAGCCACGGCTGTGCTGATGTATAATAGTATTACTTATACCAGCACTGTATGAAGATGAACCAGTATATAAGACAGTTATATAATTCTCTGTAATTGTATACTATAGAAACTATAGTATACTATAGAAACATGTTTCCGATGGTCATATAGATCTCTCACGTCTATGACAATATTGTGCAGGAAATGTGGTCAGTCTCATCACTTATATAATTCATGCTATAAACCTTATTTTAATAAAGACAATTATTATAAATTGTTTGGTTTTATTAATAATACAACATGATTTTGCGATATTTACTCTCAGTCTAATGGCTTATATTAGACTGATCATCATCCTAAGATGCCCCCTCCAGCACAACTCCTGTGTCAGGTGAGTACGGCGGGATCACCATAGCCCGTGCTGCTTGGATTTTTTTGTGCCCAGTAGCTGAATATTAAACAACAACAAATGCCCCCTCCGCTACCTCACCTCCACCCCGTCACAGTAGCAGGGGGCGCAGATCCCGTCTCCACCCCGTCACAGTAGCAGGGGCTACAGTGGAGAGGGGGGATCTGCGCCCCCTGCTACTGTGACGGGGTGGAGAGGGGGGGATCTGCGCCCCCTGCTACTGTGACGGGGTGGAGAGGGGGGATCTGCGCCCCCTGCTACTGTGACGGGGTGGAGAGGGGGGATCTGCGCCCCCTGCTACTGTGACGGGGTGGAGAGGGGGGATCTGCGCCCCCTGCTACTGTGACGGGGTGGAGACGGGATCTGCGCCCCCTGCTACTGTGACGGGGTGGAGACGGGATCTGCGCCCCTGCTACTGTGACGGGGTGGAGACGGGATCTGCGCCCCCTGCTACTGTGACGGGGTGGAGACGGGATCTGCGCCCCTGCTACTGTGACGGGGTGGAGACGGGATCTGCGCCCCCTGCTACTGTGACGGGGTGGAGACGGGATCTGCGCCCCCTGCTACTGTGACGGGGTGGAGACGGGATCTGCGCCCCCTGCTACTGTGACGGGGTGGAGACGGGATCTGCGCCCCTGCTACTGTGACGGGGTGGAGACGGGATCTGCGCCCCCTGCTACTGTGACGGGGTGGAGACGGGATCTGCGCCCCCTGCTACTGTGACGGGGTGGAGACGGGATCTGCGCCCCCTGCTACTGTGACGGGGTGGAGGTGAGGTAGCGGAGGGGGGATTTGTTGTTGTTTAATAATCAGCTACTGGGTACAAAAAAAATCCAAGTAGCACGGGCTATGGTGAGCCCGTCGTACTCACCTGACACAGGAGTTGTGCTGGAGGGGGCATCTTAGGATGATGTTTGAGAAGGGCCCCGAGTCACACAATAATAATAACAGACAAAAAAATTCATGAATCTGATTTTTACTTTAGATGAAAATATTTCAAACCACATCATGAAATTTGCAGAGGACACTAAGAGTCATGATAAAGTGGGAAGTGAAAATAAGATTGAGGCCTTACAAAGAGATCAATATGAACTCCACACATGGTCGGTAGACTGACAAATGCTTTTTAATCCGGTAATACAAAACCTTGTATGTGGGACATAACCCACATCACAACTACCAAATTAACAACACTACTTTGCAGCAGATTGATGAAGACAAGGATTCTGGACTCAGTTAGTTTAGTTCATTTATTATGCACCCCATACCCATCTTGTGGGCGGTAATGGAAAGGGTTACAGAGGCACATAATGGGCTCAGGGACTGAACCCCACAATTCATTTAGCTAAGCAAGTTACAATCTTGATGAGATAGTTACAAAATTCAGTATAAGTCGTCACATCAACAATGGGTTCGAGATCGACCACAAGTACAATTTCTAAATTAATTTAAGCTACTGACATATGTGGAGAGCTAGTGTCACAATTGATACGTTTGTCCTGCACACCGTCCCCCATCCAGTGGGCAGCGGTGGATAGGTTACAATCACTTAGTTACTACCTACAGTTAGCAAAGATTGAGATCTGGACTCAGAATCCATCATTCACTGATAGTTGCACAACAAATGGGAGCGGCAGTTAAAAAAGGCTAACCAAACCCTGTTATATCATTCAAACGTACCTTTGATTTTAAGGAAAAGGAGGTGGTTATTTAATTGTATAAACCTCTGGTGCGCCCCCACTTAGACAATTTTATCCCAGCATGAAGACATCATCTTCACAAAAACATGGCTGCTCTGGAGAAAGTTCAACACCAGGCAATAAAAGTCACCCCAGAACTATGTCCCTGTGATTGAGAACCACAGGGCTAACAACACTACAAACCAGGCATGACAGGGCGGCTCTCATCGAAACTTTTAATACTGAATAATTTGGAGGATGTTGATCCAGCACGTCACTAAACGCTAAACTTCTAGACACAGCACCGCTCCTGTGCCAGGTAAGTCCACTACGGGCTCACCATAGCCCGTACTTCTTGGAACTTGTTCCGAGTAGCTGAATCTATAACAACAGTTGATCCAGACAATTTCTTCAGAAGGTCAGATGTAACACAAACAAGGAGCAACGGTGTCATGCTCAACAAGCCACAATGTAGGACTGAAAACAGGAGATGTACGTCAGAAAATATGACGTACACTGTCACATTTTTCATCGCGTGTTAATTTTCGTGATTTACACACACTTATATACATTATCACAACCTACAAAATCCTCAGGGGGGATCGACCGGGTAAACAAGGATAAACTATTCAACACTGGTGGTATGCGAACAAGGAGACAGGTGGAAACTGAGTACTCACATGAGCCACAGGGACATTAAAAGGAACTTTTTCAGTGTCAGAGTAGTTAACAGATGGAATGCATTAGGCAGTGATGTGGTGGAGGCTGACGCCATACACAGTTTCAAGTGTAGATATGATAGAGCCCAATAGGCTCAGGAACCTGTACACCAGTTGATTGACAGTTGAGAGGCGGGACCAAAGAGCCAAAGCTCAACCCCCGCAAGCACAAATAGGTGAGTACATTATAAACCAACGGAACTGCCTACCCGCCGATATTGTAAAAGCCAAAACTGGTACATTTTAAAATCAATATTTTTGTATATACATCAAGGTTTCGCATGATTCCTCGTAGCTCCATCCACAACTATATAACTTCAAGGCATGATGCAACCACAAACTGGAGTCAAGTTATATAAGATATGGTAGCATGTACAAGGCTAATAGGCGGGGCATGAAGAGCTTGACCTTCCTTCCCTGTAGATACTGCGAGGTAGTGAATGTTAGGTGAGACCACATGCTTTCCAAGGTCATGTTTTGCCAGCCACCTCGTGCGTCAATGTTGGCTTCAACTCTACGACAACACTTGGGGTGGATGGTAGAGCGACGGTCTCGCTTCATGCAGGTCGGCGTTCAATCCCCGACCGTCCACAAGAGGTTGGGCACCGTTCCTTCCCCCTCGTCCCATCCCAAATCCTTATCCTGACCCCTTCCCAGTGCTATATAGTCGTAATGACTTGGCGCTTTGCCCTTGATAGTACCCTTCCCTTCCCTACGACAACATGCTCCCTCTAGCGTTTAGTTTAGTTCATTTATTATGCACCCCATACCCATCTTGTGGGTGGTAGTGGAAAGGGTTACAGAGGCACATAATGGGCTGAGGGACTGAACCCCACAATTCATTTAGCTAAGCAAGTTACAATCTTGATGAGCTAGTTACGAAATTCAGTATAAGTCGTCACATCAACTTGTGGTCACATAAGTACTTATACTTTATATATATATATATATAGTCTCCGCCACCTACCAATTACTTAACCCCCACCAACTGGCAATCATATCAATAAGATAACTGCATCCGTGATTTATAAAACATGAAGCCAATATCATTTTAAGTGTAATCATTATATGGTGATATTGTTGTTATAATCAGTGGTGATAATGAGCACCTTGGAGCGTATCAGCTGACGGCGGTCAACAACAACACCAGGTTATCAGAGGCGGCGCCGCGACCTTCCTGTGTGTTGTGCTACTGTGGCTGTGTCATAGTCAAGGGTACCCCCTCTCACAGGACCGGTGGTGTACCACTGTGGTACACTATACAGGACCAGTGTACCACTGTGATACACACAGAGGACTAGTGTAGGGCTCCCAGAGAGCAAGCAGCGTGGGACCAGCCACACCACACCAGTATAGGGTCCGCCCCCACACAAGCACACACACCATGGACGGGAGACGGATAGTGTTGGTGGTTATGTTGACCACAGTAGCCACCACCGCTGACAGAACTGTGAGTGTCTGCCTCTCATCGTGGCATAATCATTTTTCTTTCAGGGAGTGAGCTATTTAATTGAGAGGGTGCGAATAGGCACACACTGACTATTGTTCAGTATGTTGAGGATAGTTTGCTAACTGTAGGCAGTAACTGAGTGATTGTAACCTATCCACCGCTGCCCACTGGATGGGGGGCGGTGTGCAGGACAAACATAAATTGTGACACTAGCTCTCCACATATGTCAGTTGCTTAATTTAGAACCTGTACTTGAGGTCGATCTCGAACCCATTGTTGATGTGACGACTTATATTGAATTTTGTAACTAGCTCATCAAGATCAAGATTGTAACAATCATCAAGATTGTACAATCATCAAGATTGTTACTTAGCTAAATGGATTGTGGGGTTCAGTCCCTGAGCCCATTATGTGCCTCTGTAACCCTTTCCATTACCGCCCACAAGATGGGTATGGGGTGCATAATAAATGAACTAAACTAAAACTGTTGAGGATAGACCATTGTATGCATGATGGGGTTCACTTCCTGAACCCATTATGTGCCTCAGTGACCCTTTCCACCATTGCCCATGGGATGGGTATGGGGTGCATAATAAAAGAAGAATCATGTATGTATGGAAATAATTTCTGATGGAGCCTGCTAGTTCGCAGCCTTAACTTCCAGCAGGTTGTAGAACACTCCCGCCAGATTTTAAAACTTTTGTGACCTAACACAAACTAACCTAATCAAATAATTATATAGTTTTATAATTAAAAAATTAGTAATGTGTATGTGCAAAATGCTTAGGGTCAGGTTTTGAGTCCCGGTGCAGGCAAAAACAAATGGGCAGAGTTTCTTTCACCCTGATGCCCCTGTTCACCTAGCAGTAACTAGGTACCTGGCAGTTAGACAGCTGCTACGGGCTGCTTCCTGCAGGGGAGGAGGGGGGTAACAAAAAGGAGGCCTGGTCGAGGACCGATCCGCGGGGACGCTAAGTCCCGAAATCATCTCAAGATAACCTTAAGATGATATACGAAGAATCAGATGACAGTAGTTACTTAGTACAGTAGTTACTAATTATGTGCTGTGTTTTGGTCATATCTTTGGATACTGTAGTAGATTATATGAGGAGAATGCTCAACAAGTCTTTTAGTTCATTTATTATGCACCCCATACCCATCCTGTGGGCAGTAGTGGAAAGGGTTACAGAGCCACATAATAGGCTCAGGGACTGAACCCTAAAATTCATTTAGCTAAGCAAATTGCAGTCTTGATAAGCTAGTTATAAGATTTAATGTATATTGTCATACTGTATCAGCAATGGGTTCGAGATGATCACAAGTACAGTCTCTTGGCTAAGAAAATGAACTAATCCACAAGGGCCGTGACGAGGATTCGAACCTGCATCCAAGAACGTCTCAGACGCTGCCTTAATTGACTGACATACGACATGGTTGTTCATTTGATGCATCACGTTATTGTGATTTCTGTGTGTCTTAGCTAAGCAACTTGCGTATGTGATAAGCAAGTTTCATAATTGTCATATTCATCCTGCACACCACCCCCCCATCCAGTGGGCAGCAGTGGAAAGGTTACAATCACCCACATTTAGTACCTACAGTTAGCAAACTGGGAATATTTAGCTAAAATTTATGGAGTTGATAATATGAATAAAATAGTTACACATTTCTTGAACATTTGTTATAAAGCTGTCTCTAAATTCACGTATCTTTTCGCACTCCATCAAATAGTGGCAGGGTGAGTGCAAATAATTTAGCTGGCACAGTTTACATTTGGTCAGGTCTACATCAGCAGGTAATGCAAATTCCCTGAGATACTTATTGTCGAGTCTAAGTTGAGCAGTAATAATTTCTAGGAGTGTTCTGATTCCATTGGATAATCCATAGATGTGTGGCTTGTCTTGCACAATCATGCAATGATAGATGGAATTATTAGTGTAGATTTCACTTTGTCTTAGATCTACTAGGTTTTCTTGAGGTTCTTGGCATATTATTGTTCTCACGACGGCTTATAGGCATTTCAAGGTTATAATCAACTCCTGCTTTGAAGACAGATTCTTTAGCTAACTCATCAGCTCTATCATGCATTCGGAGGTCAGCATGAGATGAAATCCACATGAAATGGAGTTAGTTACCATCATTAATAATTTTGTCTAGCTTCAGACACGTTCATGTTACAATTGGGTCTTAAAGCGCTGAATGCAATTAAGGATGATAATGAATCACTTACAAATATGTCCAGCTTGAAGAGTAGGGCCCAACTGTTTATATGGACTTCTCACTCAAAATATAAGCTATTCTCTAGAGTAATTTGAAAGTTGTCTAAAGAAGGAACTTGGTACCTAACCTATGGACTGTGAATAGTCTATTTTGCATGTAGGTTTATGGAGCACTGCATTATTTGTATAAAAGCACATGGGAATGTTGCACCTTTAGAATACAGGAGAACAAGATGTCATACTGTTACATAATGTAACATGCATTCAGCCCAAAAAGTGCACTGTTTGCCACCAGGTTTTGCTTATTATTGAATATGGAATGATCTGACATAATCTACTACCTTACCATAAGTACATGCCACCTTACCTATGTATCCTTATCTAGCCTAGTAGTGTACATTAGCCTTCAGAAATGCTAACATCCTCTACTGAGGTGCTGTTGTGAGTTACTTTGGAGGATCTATTAGGAGGCCTTCCCAGATATTAAGCATTGAATGTAATGAAATGCCCATTACTGATAGGCCCTTTGTAGTTCCCTATGCCCTCCTTTCTTTTTTATTTATATATTTTTGTTTAATCCCTGTGGGGGTTGAGGCATTTGCTTTGGGGGGCTCATGAGTTAGGAAATAAGGTGGATGGAGCCCTGGGTGACCTGGGCTGCCACTTGGTGGTGGTCAGGCACATTAAGATTCAACCCGTCCTCAGACCAAGTCCATTCCATCCAGCAGTTGATCCCAAAAACGCATTCATCAATTTTAACATGCTGTTCATTCAAAATAGGAATTTTTCTCAAATACAAATTAATATTGTTACATATTAGCATACTGCATATTTAGGCATTGGTTAGGTTAGGTGTTTAGATTCTGTGGCCGATTATTTGTATTTGTAGTACGTGGGTTGTATTTAGGTTCTATTTGCGATTATTTGTATTTTTAGTACATGTACAGCTTTGTGGTTCGAACAAAGGTCGTATGCTAAGCACTTTTCGATAAATGTTTGAACATCATCGGTTGAGTCATATGTAAACCACTTTTCATACATAAATAGGGGGTTTTGGCGATTGCATGGAATCACTTTTGGCCTTTGTTAATGAGGACATAGTGAGATTTTTCTTGATTTTGGGGTTCTTCAAGCTCACTTCCTTGGAGTAAAGAGATTGATTCTGGCCCTAGCTTTGGTTAACAAGGGTTGGTTTCAGCGGCCTGGTGCATCTTCCCAAGGCGGGGGAAGATTCACCAATAAAGACTGGGATACACTCATCGATTCAGTGTAACCTTTCTTATTCTTTCACCCTTAATTTGTGAAAACAAAATTGTTGATGTATTAGATGATTGCAGTTTTAAGTAGTGTAGATAATTAAGCATCCACTGTATTAAAATGCAGTACTCTACGATATTTGTTTGGAAGAAAAATTGAGTGAATGCTTAGAATGAGGAAAATGAATGTAAAAGTAGATTTTTTTTTTAAATTTTACTTCTGGGATATTCCCGCACGGCCCGCACAGGAATATCCCAGAAAAACAAGCCTAAGCCTATGGCTAGACTACTAAGTGTTACTTGTTTCTTGTTTCTGTTGTACTTAGGCGGAGAATGAGTATTTTTTTACTTTGCTTCAGTACCATAAAAGTAGATCTATCTTGAGCTCATCTTGAGATGATTTCGGGGCTTTTTTTTTAGTGTCCCCACGGCCGGTCCTCGACCAGGCCTCCATGGAGGAAGCAGCCCGTGACAGCTGATAACACAGCCTGCTAGGTAACAGGGGCACAGTGAAAGAGACTCTGCCCAAGATGATAGAACTAGATGATAGAAGAATGGAATAATAGTGGTAGAAGATCCAGCCTGAAGATCCAATGGTGGTGTACAGTGAAGTAATGCAGACATTTGTGATAAGAAAAAAATGCATGTTAAGATTACAGAATGATATAGTAAGATTGTTGACTGATATGATAATGTTACAAGGTTGAGTGTACTGTTGCCTCTACATAACCATTATGTACTCAAATTTAAGTTACAAATACTTTGTGCTGAGTCGAGTTATTAGGCAGCAGAGATTAATAGGGTGATAAAAGGATATTACAGATAAGCATAGATAAGGAACTTGTATTGGTTGAATTGTGTCATTCATTAAGTGAAGAAGAAAATACAAGTTCAGTCATCTTAATGGTACTGTATTGTATACTAGGAGGCCTGATGATTACTGTGGTGTGTGGGATGAGTGTGGTGAGGCTGATGTTTAGCATAGGGAGCCGGTCAGGAGCGGACAGCACACTGACTTGTGATCCTGATCCAGGGCTGGCGAGAAACAATGGGCAGAGTTTCTTTCGCCCTATGCCCCTGTTACCAGTAAAATAGGTACCAGTCAGCTGTCACGGACTGCGGGGTAGAGGCCAGGACCAGGCCGCGGAGAACTAAAGCCCCGAAATCATCGGTAACTCAAGATAGCATTCAGGTTGATAGACATGAATGAATTCTTTAGACCTTAAAGCAATGCCTTATGAATTCCTTATGAGTGCCCTTGGGAAAAGGGACAGGTAGAAAGATAAAATATTGCTACCTACCTTGAGGCTACCTTGAGGTGCTTCCGGGGCTTAGTGTCCCTGCGGCCCGGTCGTCGACCAGGCCTCCTGGTTGCTGGACTGATCAACCAGGCTGTTAGACGCGGCTGCTCGCAGCCTGACGTATGAGTCACAGCCTGGTTGATCAGGTATCCTTTGGAGGTGCTTATCCAGTTCTCTCTTGAACACTGTGAGGGGTTTGCCAGTTATGCCCCTTATGTGTAGTGGAAGCGTGTTGAACAGTCTCGGGCCTCTGATGTTGATAGAGTTCTCAGAGTACCTGTTGCACCTCTGCTTTTCAACGGGGGTATTCTGCACATTGCTGAGATATTTGTAGTACTGTATATATAAATTTGTATATTCACATTTATTATATATTCTCCTAAAATCTGTAGGATGTTAAATCTCACTGAGCACCTTGTTGATTGTTTCATTATTCCTGGCTCTGCTCCAACAGATTTTACCTTTGGAAGTCAACCCGGACTGTGAGGGGAACTGCAGTGAACCTTGGTTAATCCATGTTGCTGCCAATGGCCAGAATGACACTCTTCATCATTTATGGGGTGCACATGGTGCACTGTCATTTATGGTTGTAAAAACCAGTTTGGATGCAGTTATGAAAGTCAACTGGACAGAACTTCAAACACCATCAGATGTATCGGTGTCTTTTAGTGACATACCAATCCATGTATTTGGCCTTTCTATTCCCAATGTAAGTACAGTATGATACAGGAAAACTTATGATCCATGAATTTTATACATATCCAAATAATTTTGTAAATGTGATATACAGCACTGTACTGTATAAATGCTGTTCTGTATGGTTCATATGTGCATCAATAATTTATTTATGTATACGCACACACTGCACACAGTCTAAATTTGTTAAAAATTAATAAGATGAAACATCATGAGCTTAGCTCTCTTCCTGTAACTATAATTAGGTAATTAAAACTAAACCCTGACACCAATTAGACATACAGTATAGTCACCTGTTTTTGGACATTTGTGAACATTATCTACTTCGATAAATAAAATTAGTAATAGTAGGTTTTTATTGCAAAATGTTTGGTATGAATTTAAAGTGATGTTTAAAATGTCATACACTGGATTCTGTATATACAAAAACAGATATATTAAAAAGACTGAATTATGGGTGAACCCCAATGGGCCACTGAAGCTTTGTTGCTGAGATAGATTCCCAATACTGAGTCACATGGTCACCAGAATGAATCCAGAAACAAACATGTTCCAAATGATCCTGAAAGTGACCACATTTTCAGTCGTGTAGATTCCCAGTGTTATAACCTAGGCCAAGATGAAACCTTGGGGGATCACTCCAAACCCCTGAAGCCTGTACGAGCCTGTAGTGGGAACCAGAACCAACATGGGGATCAGAGTTCACTACATAAGAGTAAAAAGCCCATGAGAATGTCAGAGCTCCAAGTTTGGATATTTTTAACCCTGACAAAAACATTGCAAACGATTGTTAATGAATGAAAATTCCTGCTGTAACAGATGGCATCCCAGGTGGCACAGAGTCTCAGCAATCCAGCTGTGAGCTTGGTGTTGATCTGGGGCACATCTGTCTGCATGAGCTCATCTCCTTTTGACTTTAAAATAAGTGGTGTTGGCCATCCCTTGAACAACTGTTCTTTACATGGCCATTGTTTGGTGGTGGCTTTTGTTTTGCTTCGCATGTATGTTCCTTGAAGAGCCCTGCGGATGTTAAATCAGTATCATCATCTATGGTACCTGACCTGCATTTTTCTAGGGTTATTTCCCTGCTGGGTTTGGGCTACCTCCTCTATGAGCTGGCTCCTCTCGAGTTAACAGTATCTTGCTTCTAGGTGGTACATGGTTTGTGCACTACTGTGTGTAGTTAGCACTACACACAGATTTCTTTTGTGTGTTTGAACTTCTTCCTCTGTGAGCAGCCTCTTTTGGAGTCTATTGATATGAGGTTCCGGCTGCTAGCTGTATGTTAATCTCTCTCATGCCTAGTGTATTGACCGAAGGTGTTCAGGGGAACACACATGACTTCTAATCTCAAAAGTCTCCAAGGGCTTGTGCCTCTATCTACTGATGGGCTATAAGGTTGGGAGTTAAGTTATGCTTTGCCAGAGACATGTTCCCTGTGCTGGTTATTCTTCCTCATGACCCATTCTTGGCAGGTGGGTCATGGCTCCACCTGTCTCGGGACCTGAAACCACTGTGGGCTGTTTACCTAAGCGCAAGCTGGTATTTGTTGCTGGCAATCACTCTTGCCGTCTGTCATTTCACCCATTGAGTACAGGACTTACTTCTTTTAACCTTGAGTGGGTGATGTTTGTCACCTTTCAACTTCAGGTTCCTGGGGTCTTTGTATCTTACCGTGTTTATGATAGTGGGCCTGTCATTAGTATGTCCCGATGTTGGGGTCCTGTTTGGGTTTTTTGTGGGATGGGGCTCTAGTCCTGGGTCTCATCATAGCCTCATTTGTTGGAACGGGGAAGTGTTCTCTGCCAATCTTGATGTGTGGAGTTGCTTAGTATTCTTGACTTAGTGTTCTTAGTGTTTCTTAGTGTTCTTAGTATTCTTAGTATTCTTAGTGACTTGTCTCCTGTGTTGGAGTTGGTTGACAAGCTTCTTTATGTCGTGTCATCATCTTTGTGGCAACAGTACGTGGTGGCTTGGCGGGCATTTCCCTTGTACCTCTCTTCAGCATCTGTCCTCTGTGTTAATTGCTGCTGCTGTAGGTTTTTCTATCCCCTGGCACTTCATGGCTTCCAATTTGCTACCTAGACTTTTGCCTTGTTTTGTTCTCCCTTGGCTGAGCATCTTTCACTGGCATTTGGTGGGGATGGGGGAAAAAATGTGTCCTCACTGCTTTCTCCAGCTGTCTGTGGCATACTTTCATCTCCAGCCAGTTTACACTTCTGTGGGACCTTTTCTGGTCTTTAAAATGTGTGTTGGGGTTTCCTGCTAGGCAAAAACTTTAAGTTGTTTCCTAACCTAAAGTTCCCCAACCCACTAACCCAACAACCTAAAGCTGTAGGAAACTATAGCTTTAGGTTGTTGGGTTAGTGGGTTCTTTGTTTCTTTGCTCTTTGCCTTTTGATGGGGTTCTCTTGTCCTTGCTGCTTGGTTTCCCCCAGGGGTAAACCGAGGACTTTGTCCTGTGGTTGCCGAACCTAGTGTAAAAAATCAGACGCCCATGACTTTTCAGTCTTCTGCCAATAAATGTCACCAGAACAACAGTGGAAGCTTTCAAGAGAGAATTGGACAAGTTTCTGTTGGAGTTACTTGATCAGCCTGGCTTCAATAACTATGGGGGCCTTTGGACTATGAATACAGACAGCCTCTCAGACCAGGCAACCTCAGGCCAGGCTGTGGAAGTAGAAGAAATCTTGACATTGTTAACAGGTAGAGAGATAGCAGGTAAATTGTAATCTACAAATAGTCTATCATCATGTTCTCAATATATTTCATTATAACATTATACATATAGTGCTGTACTGTGTTAAACCATGTACAAAAACTTACAGAAGATTAATAGCTTTTACATATAAAATTTTAGTGTTGACTCTTAATACAGTACATGGTTTCATATCCTAGTAATATATATATTTTTTTTCCAGCTGATTTTGTTCAATGACACAGATAATTCTGGAAGGTTTAACAACTCGACTAAAGAACAGATTATTGTCCCGATGACAGACTTTACATGGGAGGTTAAAACAGCATCCAACAGTACCCACGAAGCGGGGATTATTATTGAAACAAACACATTTAGAGGAGAGCTTCTACCAAACGAAACCAAAATTTCTGTTCAGGTAAGGTGTATTTCTATTCAGGTAAAGTAGACAGTAGACTCCTGTTGTTAATATCACATACAGATGACCATAAATAATAAGGAATGACAAAACTATTTAGCTGACAACACCTTTTATAAATGTTTCATTGAGATCACTGACTTTCTCAAGAGAAAAAACAGTAAATAACTAGCTCCATACAGACCCACCTTCAAGGTCAGGCATAGTTTATATTGTTAGCTCCCTGACCACAGGAACTATGGTCAAGAGTAGCACACTCAAGAGAGAGAATATAAATAAAAATGTACTCCATTGATTTCCCTTATAGTGCAAGCATTCATTGCCCCTTTCAGGAGATAAAGGGGTTGACAAGCCACCGGCTTCCTGTTCTCATCGAGGCCACTAGTATTAGTGGCCCTCGGGTAAATTCAGGTAAATAAAGACAACATCATTGGACTGGTACTTGTTGCCAGTGATCAGAGATACTCACAGGAACCTGATGTGTGAAATGTAACCTTGCAATGATAGTATTGTAAGTTGAGGGTTGCTTCCTATGCCTGCCCAGAAAGTTGTATTTGATTATACTCGATGCAGAATTTTGGGAAGCTGAAGTTCCTGTGAAAAAAGTCATTGTTGTTTTTAATCTTATTGTTTTTCTTGTAGCTATTGTTCTTAGTTTGATTAGTACTATGAATATAGTTTGTATTTTGTAGTACAGTATTCTATGAAATGTTTGCTTTACAGGTGGCAGCTTTTGGAGAAAATGGAAGAAGCACATTATTGCCTCATTTACTGAGAACCCCAGACTCGGCCCAGTTTGATTTGGTTCTTGATCATTTGGTCCTTGACCTCAATTCTACTGACTACGAGTATGTATTACAGATTATATTTCTTCATTCATCTCTGTGTGACTGCCCATGATCATTACAAAAATGTATTTTTTGAATGTTAGCATTTTCACATTGAAATTCATGAAAAAGTCATGTGGAGGATTATTTGTGATACATGTATCATGGTGTCATGAGAGGTAAAGAACAGATGGATAGACAATAACAGATGATTTGGAGAATACTGCCTTTAGTCATGACTGTTGCCTTGGAATCAATGAAGCCTCCATAGCCATGACCATAACAAGTAATCTTTGGTTATACCACATCTACCTTAGAGCCTCGTTGATCTGTGTCAAACATGCAAACATGGTGCCTGCCTTCAGCCAAAAAATACTGAGTGATTTGAAAATTGTAATCCTTCAAAATAAGCAATACAAAATTGACTTCTTGAGGAAAACATGATATATAACATGAAGATTGAGAAATATGTATGCCCCTGTTTAATGAAATAATTGAGGCCCCTGTTTGTAAGCAGCTGGTGTGTCATGTTCCAGGGAAAAACTAGTAGAGTTGGACTTAAAAATTAGATATGGTAAGAGAAGCCTAATTTCTAGAATTAGAAGTTGCATACTCCAGTACCCATCCATAGGGAGAGAGAGAGATATAGAAAAAAAAAGAGGGACTTCCCCATAAAGACAAGAGAGGCACTGGACTGGTCATACTTGATGGACAGAAAACAAAGGGTCAGTCAGAGAGGATATGTAAGGCAGGAGACGAGTGGAAAATGGCGTTCCACATGACTGTCCTAGGATCATTGCTGTTATTAATTAATGTAAATGGCCTCACAGAGGAAGTGAGCTTGTACATGTCGATATTTGCAGGTGATGCAAAATTAATGAGGAAAGTAAGAACTTAAGAGAACTCTAGGTGCTGCAACAAGACCCCTGACAAACTTCAGGAGTAGGCAGATGTTACGGCCCTACTGGGACGCAACCGGGTTCTTCTCTGATGTTAGTAGAGTTTGGGAATCCGGCCCCAAGTTAGTAGAGGCTTTCAAGGGGTGTGTTCCGTAACGCAAGTTAAATTAAAGGGGGAGGGATACAAATGTTCTGATTTATATATATATTCTCACCACCACCATATAAATAAATAAGTCACCCGGGGTTTATAACTACACGATTATGTACAAGCTTGTCTTCCTCTGAAGACACAGGATGCTCCACGGTGCGCACTTTGGGTGGCCCTGGTTCCTTCCTCAGTGGCCCACGATGAATCCTCTATGATTCTCTTGGCGAATCTACCCTGGCCACAGGCCAGCCAAATCAGTCCCACTGGGTGCTCCGTCGTGGAGGCCTTCAACCACAATCCAGCCTGTAGCTGGCAGGTACCGATCAGCTCCGCTGTGTAGGCCACTCCACGACCGATACTAGGGTTGCGAGCCCTAGGCAGGAGCCTCGTGTAATCCCGCTGATCACTCTCCTCACTAAGCACCACAGTGGCTAGTCTCTTCCACCAGCCAGCCCCGGATAAGGCGATTCCTGATACTACCACGTCACAGGCAGGCTAATACTCTCAACAGAGTTCGTCCAGGGGTGACTCACAACTTCTTCAGCAGACTCGTGGAGAGACCTTGGCTGCCTTGGGTAGACTGATCCGTCGTCCAATACAGCAGTCCCAGGTCGACTCTGTAATCAGACACGTCATTAGTACTGGGGACGCTCTAGGGAACCTCACTTACAAGCTTAGACACAAACATCCACCTCTCTGCTCCATAGATGGCGTTGCTGTCTAAACGCCACCTCACCAGAGGTCAGCAGCGGCTATGTTACGAGCTTATTAAGACGGGAATCCAGCACCTGTGGCCGGTATATCCCGTCCTCACTAGATGGCGGCGTCCATTTGGAGGGGGTTTCGGGAGCGGACTCACAGATGGCGTTGTCGTCACTGCTCCGTGCTCCGTTGCTGGACTCGGGTCCGTAACAGCAGATAAATGACTGATGGAATTCAATCCAAATAAGTACAAAGTAAGGGAGGTGGGAGACCTGCTTTTAACTATACCACAAGGAAAAGGCAATTACAAGAAGCTGTAAGAGAAAACTACCTGGAAGTAAACATGATCATGACACTAACACCAGAATCTCATGTGAAAAGGATAGCATCAGCAGCATATTGGAAATTAGAAAACATAAGAATGTCATTTAAGAATCAAAGCAAGGAGGCTTTCAAATCCATAAACACTTCCTTTGTGAGACTATTGCTCGACAATGCAGCACCAGCATGAAACCCAAACTTTGTGAAGCATAAACAGAAACTTGAAAAAGTTTGAGAGTTTGCTACTAGATTAGTACCAGAATTGAGAAGCCTCGGCTATGAGAACAGGTTGAGAGAACTCGTCCTTACAATCTTAGGGGAGATAAGAAAGAGGAAGGATATTATAACTACATACGAAAGCTTAAAGGGAATAGATGAAGTAGATAAAAGAAGCTTATTTAAGTTAAAAAGAGGAAGATTGAGAGGGACATCAGTGGAAACTGGACTTGTAATTGAATCGAAGCGATGTAAGAAAGTTCTCGTTCCCTGTACGAAAAGACTGTTATTGTCTTTTTCCACTGTGCCACTCATTCCAACATTAAACTCTTTTTGCAGATATAAACTCTTCTCTTCATCCTTCCTGATATATAATGTTTTAGGATTTACAGAATTTAGCAAAATTTACTTTAAATCATTTAAATATATTTTTCAAGCACTGAAAGTCTACTGGTATATGTAGTCACATCTTCTGGGATGCATTCTATTTACTTTTCTAAACACTGGGTAGTCACTCCCACCACTTTGAGTCTATAGTTGCATGCAACTGGTCTCTGCAAGCAGGCACTGGGAGGTGGGCAATTCAAAATAAAATGGGCCGGAAATTCAAATACAAATAGCCCTGCCTTACACTTTAGGGACATCACGTGGCATTTTAAGTTGGAGAATTTGGGTTGGCCACCACATCTACCACATTTAGGTGCTCCTTTTCAGTCTAAATCTGGCTCGGTTACCTTCACCAAGATTACCAGGCTTCAGAAATGCTTTTTCTATAATGAACTGATAATATAATAAGTTAATAAGAAATATTAAAAGAATTAAAATTTTGTTAATATTTTTACTTCTCTCTTAGCTAAATGAATTGTGGGGTTCAGTCCCTGAGCCCATTATGTGCCCCTGTAACCCTTTCCACTAATGCCCACAAGATGAGTATGGGGTGCATAATAAATGAACTAAACTAACTAACTCTCTGTTAATATTAGCATTAATTTCATTCTTTACTTTTAAGTTATTTGTATATTTGTTTGTGTTTTTGTTTATACATGTACAGTATGTGTATTTATTTAATTACTCAAAAATTTTGTTTGTGACTAGACCATCAAGGAAGGACAAGGCAACACAAGGCATCAGTGGCTTTATTAATGCTCGTTGGGCTTTGGACCTCGTTATGTTTTGTTCAGAGGAAAAAGAAGTAGACGACAGTGGCTTTAAGCTTTCCACGAAAAAGTCTCTTGATGATGAAAACACACCAGGAGTCTTTCATGTAAGAATAATCCATATTATTAAGACTTGTATCCACTCCATCACTATGGCAGGCCGTGATATTGGCTATAAGACATGGCCATGACATAAGGCCATAAGATCAAGATATTGATCTTGACATGATGGAATGCTTTGCTCATATACAGTAGTTGGAATTAAGTAATGTTGAGGGTAAATGATGAAGCATTATGCTTTAGAGTGCTTTATTGGGACATTAATTGTTTGTGGAATTTGTTAAATAAGAATTCTTATTAGTGAACGATGAATGTTTTGCATAGTAATCCAATGCCAGTTTCTCCTTATTGCTAAGTATCTACAGATAACATGATTACCACTTCTGCTGCCTAACGTTTATAATTATTTGACAGCTGGACGAGATAATGACAACTTTGGCGAGGAAATCTAAAAATGGAGGGTACATGCAGTGGCGGCCGGTGAGCTACCTCAGTTCGAGTCGGGATATTAACTTGGCCACCAACCCAAACATTGATGTCAACTTCACCCCATTAAAGGAAATCTCACAGCCTTTGAAAGAATCTTTGGCGTATGCCGTGTTTGGAAACGAGTTGGTGGGAACACGAATGACTGCCAAGACCAATGTTGCCTTTGGAATGACCAATGACAACTTTTATTCAGAAAATAATTATACTACATGGTAAGAAAAAATACATTTGCTGTTATAGAGTAGGTTGCTGCAAAGGCAAAGTGTCCTTCCCCCCCCCCCCCCCAAATAAAAAAAAAAATTAGGTACTGTATTATCTAGAAGATTGCCCGCAGATGGTTCTTGAGAAGCTGTCAATGAGAGTTGTGAGAGGAAGACATAATACTGTATCTATAGAATAGATGAAATGTGACAGCGTGAGACTAGCTCAGGACTAGCTACATATACAATATCTATTAGAAAAATTCTGCTAAGCAATTATTAAGTCATATAGAAAGAAAATGTAATAACGTGTAAGTTCTTTAGAATATAGATTGTGGAAGTAGCTGTGAAAGATAAATAGATTCAACTTTTTCAACCAGAAGATATTGGTTAGCCCTTACGCTGCTCATTAGCTTCTGCACCGCCCATGTAAATATAAAAATAAAGAAATTGCAGAAAGCCTATTGGCCCTTGTGAAGCAAGGAAATTTTTAAAATAAAATTTCATTTTATGCCCAACCAAACTGATTCATATATATAGTGACTGCTGTATGATTCAAACACCAGTAACTAGAATCTCTGGGTGACTTGGCCAAAATTGTGTTGTTTCTGCTTGGCTTCTTTCCTTCTTCAGCTTTCATTGTAACTTAGGAATTCCTGCTTAAATAATGTGTTAATATAGAAAATGGGGAAATAAAATGTATGTTGGTAAACTTTTATGATAAATTATGAAAAAATGAGCCAAAAGATGAATATGATCAGAAGAAACGGGGCTTAATCTGACGTTCGTTGAGAATGAAAACTATCAACATGAAGGGTCGAAAAGTTACCAACACTCTCCCTCTATACATAATATCTAACTGACCTCTCTCACAGCATTCAAGAGAGAACTTGATAAACACCTCCATAGGATGGAGGTGTTTGATCAACTAAGTTTGATCCTAATTTGATCTACAGCCTTGATCAATTAGGCTGTGATTCACACGTAAGGCTGTGAGCAGCTGCATCCAACAGCCTTGTTGACCAGACTACCAACCAGGAGACCTGGTCAGAGACCAGGCACAAGGACATTGGTTTCTGAAACCAACAAGAGACTGACATTGATATGTCACACTCGTGCAGAAAAATAGCCTTGCGGAACACAGCCAGTTAACATGTATGTTTCAAGACTGAAACAAGAATTTAAAATTGTATAGGGATTGGAGGATAATATCAAAGATTAGGTACTAATGATGTACAGTATGTGTGAATAATTAAGAATGTGCTTTGACTAAGTAGAATATAGAGAAACAGAAAGTAAGGGTGATGATATGGAGATGGGAAAGAGGGAGAGAGTGTATACTTGAAATAGAGGTCTTGAGGAAGAGAGCTGCAGGGATGTGTTGAGGTACAGCCATACACTGGAGACTGTACTCTGTACCCATTAAGTGGTGAGCTAGATGTTGACTGAAAGCTAGATAACTGTTACCTAATACGAAAATGCAATTATTTATGTTGCAATGTATTTCACTTGATTATTTTAATGGGAGAACGAATTTTCAGTGTCATGGATGTGTGTGCATGTCCACTGGACATATATGTAAGAAATTTGTTATATATAGTGTAATTTTAATTAATAAAAAAAAAAAACTTCTTAACTGAAGATAATTTATATTTTTCAGGACAGTGGCTATAGGAAATGGCTATCCACCAAATGAATCTTTCTCTACAATGGTCATCATTGTCATCACTTTGGGGCTGAGCATTCCTGCGCTCATGTTTATTATCGGAGGTACAATAATTGCCTGTCGAAAGTTCCGCAGGTCCTCCCAGCCACTCATTGAAAATTAATTTCTGGCTAGTTAGAGATTTCACTCTTCAGTTCATGTGACATACAGTAACGATAAATGATTACAACATACTGTAATCTTATATTAAAGTTATTTTCCTTATTCTTGTCAAGTGCCTTTTGCTGTGAACAAATTATTTTGATACTCGTGGTTTTAAGGAAAGTTTGCTCATTAAGGAATATTACAATTTAGATAAAAACAAAGGCTTTTTAATTTTTTTTACATCAATTTATTTCACATATACATTAATTTGTTATTTTCTGTGAACTAAGCTTGAGGGGCTTAGTTCTTGTGTAGACTTGTGTAGACTCGTGTAGACTCAACCTTGTACATTTGCCCGAGGGCCCCTGACGCTAGTGGCCTCGGCAAAGACAGGATGTTTGCGGTTTATCAAAGTTCTCCTATTTATTCAGATGATTTTATTGACCTGGATTTTAAAATTTAAGTGTTTTGACATGTACAGCTAAGGCGGGTAGGCAGTTCCGTGGGTTTATAACCCTGTTGGGGGAAAAAAGCATCCCCTGTTTTTAGTTCTACATTGTAACTTGTTGAGCTTGAAACCGTTGCTCCTTGTTTGTGTTACATCTGACCTTTGAAGAAATTGTCTGGATCAACATGTCACCCACCTTCAAATACAGCCTTAATACATAGGAAAATAATCTTCAAGGTGAATATGTAGCAGTCTTTGATGTCGGCTCACAATAAAAATTCTGAGTTCAAACCCCGGGTAAGACGGTGATAGTTGGGCATATTTAGTTTCACCTGATGCCTGTGTTCACCTAGCAGTAAATAAATATCCAATAGTTAGGCAACTGTTGTGGGTTACATCCTGTGGAAGGTCTGTACAGTAGTTGGTTTAGGGTATTTATAAGCCTAAGTATTGGCTTCCTGTTCCTAACATTGGGAAATTATTTAATACTAGACTATTATAATAAAAATTATATAAATAAATATATTAAAACATAACGTACAATGCTAAGGTTTCTCAGGGAAATGTCTGAGAGTTAATAAAAAATAATTGACTTACAGTATTTACAGTACTTAGTGGTTGCATTCATTACTAGATATATGCACTTATTCATTACTCTTTCCCTCTTCAGATTTCTACTGTCATGCATTCCTTAATCCAGGGCTGTTGGCAGGACAGTCAGTCAGTTTAGAGTTACAGGTAACAAACTGTTTTCAGTACTCTTAAAGGTAGCCTGTCCCCCTTGGCCTTCCTCCAAGTGGAAAACAGCTCTGGTAAGGAGATAAGCGTGTATGGCCAATACACACTTATCTCACTGGCACTTAATAGACCACCGGTCTGCTCATTATTGTCCAAACTGCATTGCACCTCCCTATAGAATGTCCCAGGTTTTCCGGGCATTCGTATGTTTTGCTTTCCTTTTTATAACCCCTTAAGGTCATTTGTCCCTTAATGAATCTGATGCTTTTGATATCGCTCACCTTGTGTGCTTTTGTGCTTGTAATAGCATCCTTGGTTATATTTGGTGCCTTTTGAATATCCAGCAACACTGATGGTGCTACATAGTCTTTCCGGCTTGGTGACTTCTTTAGATAATTACTTACGTATTACTGTGCTAGACTCACTCATGCATTCATTGCAGCTGTGATATGTAGGGTCACTATGCATGTAAAGTAAACAATATGATAATATTGTGTGATGAGATTGTTCAGGGTACAATATTTGAGCTGCTTGTAAACTTCTAGGAGGTTTAACATGTTAGCAAGTTTCATTCACAGGATCAGAGAGATGTATATTAGTATACATTGTATTTATTTCTGTATGTTTATACATTTGCCATTTGTATCATTTTAAGACATGCTGGTATTTCTATGGCTTGATGTGAATATCAGGGCCACCATGTTCTTATGCACAATGTATACTTGATATTGTCTCTGCATGAAGTGTAGCAGTTAAACACCTTTGTAAGACTTTATGGATCAGCATTTTCTCCTGATAATGGCCCTATTTTTCCTTTCCCACAGCTGCAGTCTCGCAGACACGCTGCCCACAGCTGCACTCTAGCAGACACACCGCCCACAACTGCACTCACAGACACACTGCAGCTGTGGGCAGTATGTCTGTGGCAAAAAAGTTCAACTGAATGATTTAAGATTATTGTGAAACAAATTAACAGTAAATTCAAATTCAAAATAGATTAGATGCTATATTTTTTAGTTTATACTACAATCATTACAGATCTAGCTGGACTAAACAGCTATACAACTGAAACAAAAGTTTCAATTGTATACCTGAATCAGTCATTTGTATGTGAATTGTTTTTCCAATCCTAGCTGTGTTCAGGCTATGTGCTTGTTTCTGTTTGGGCTGTGTGTCTGACTACCTAGGCTGTGTATATACATAACTTCCTTTGAAATAGAGGTGAAATAACATGGGATAGACCTTGTGAACACCACTAGCTACAGTTGCTAGTAGGTTTCAATGCCACTATACTGTTTCACATTTAATTCAGACCAATCAAATAGAAAAATATAGTCCTCATAGTCTCTCAAATATTTGGTTATTGAATGGTTTAAACATTTATGCTCAAACTCCCAGAATGAGTGTAGGCATTTTACAGGCTGGCACAATCTCAAATAAGAGGAACACAGTAAGGGGGCAGCTAGATATCATTGGGCTGTTGGGTATTCTACAGTGCTAGCAAGTCGGTGTCTTCAGGTTCAGATCTCTCGAAGGAAGCCGGTTTTATTCTGTAATTTAATATTGGCTAGTTCTTAAAAGTATACTACGTATAAACATACACCTTTCTAACTTGGTCGGTAGTAGCAACTCCAGACTCTAAACACTTCCCAATCACTTTGACTGGAAAACTCTCCCCTATTGGGGAGCCCAGTCCATGTCCAGTACAATACTGTATAAATAAATATGCCTTAGAATCACAGAATGAGATACTGTATTACCAATAACAATGTAACTCGACATTGTTAATACATATCAGAGGTCCTGCATAAGTTCAAGATGGCATTGATGGTTCATATAGAAATCAAAGGTGATATTTTAGTATTTAATTTTATATGTGGTGATAATTAAGGCACTTCTTTAAACCAAAGTTATAATTTTAAGTCCAGTTTTTTTTATATAATTTGAATGGTGGTGGTGTTGTATAAATATGTTGCACATGTGGTAGCTCACATGAGAGAGCAATAATGTTCCATGTGTTAGGCTAACCATAATGCATCATTTGTTATAACATATTTGTAAGTGATATGGAACAACACCTGAAACACATTAAGTACTGTACAGTGTTATGACATCTGTTATAAGATGATAATGCCAAGGCTTACACAGACCACAAATACCATTTAAGAAAATTCCTTTGGCTTTAAATATTTTGTCAAATAAACAGCCATGAATTTAAAACATATTTCTAAAATGAAATTACAGTATTTGGCATGAATTTGTTAAAGCAGGTGGTCTGTTTATTGAGGATGAGTGTACGTTATGATGAATGTCATTACTCTTGTGGTATGTTTCCTGGGCACCAGGTTTATTGTGCCCATATAAACATTGTTGTGCTCAAGGGCTTATTCTGCTTGTGGTCGTATCTTCTAATTTTGCATCTTAATTCTCAATTGATTTTTTAACCAAGTATGATAACATCCAAGCCTGTGATAACTTTCATGTTTGATAGTGGCAAAATACTAATTTAATTGGAGGTCTAATTATTTGTAAGTGCAAAGTTGTGGTCAGTATTGGAGGGTCGATCCAACTTCTGCCACATAACAGTGGAGGCCAAAACCGTTGGCAGTTTCAAGGTGTAGTATGACAGAAAATTGGGAAAACAGGACGCCACGAGTGTAGCTCTCATCCTGTAACTATACGTGCGTAACTACCAAATGGAATCTTTGCTCATGTAAGGCTGCCATGTTGTGAGAAAGCCTTAAGTAATCACAACCAAGCCATAGATAATTTGAAACTGTTGTATTCCTTGATACTCAAATTGTTGGTATGTGATAAAAGTACTAAAGAATACTTTGTTTATTGTATGAGAGACAAGTTAATTGTCACTTGTAGATTTACTGCAGAGCAAGGGCAAGATAACCATTTCCATCTCTTTGGCAAAGATCAAATACAAGTTACTTAGTATTGTTTTGTTATTACATGTACATATGAAATGATGTAGGTATGTGGCAAGGTGGAAGGTCAGCAAAAAGTCAGGCCAGATCCAAAAGGCTGTTTGTAGACGGTCATATGTTAAAAATACGTCTGGGCATCATGTGATGATCACAGTGATGGCATACACCCGGGCATCATGTGATGACTACAGTGATGTCATACCCTACGGGCATCATGTGATGACTACAGTGATGTCATACCCTACGGGCATCATGTGATGACCACAGTGATGACATACACCCGGGCATCATGTGAAGACCTCGGGAACAGCATCCATGTGCAGGCCACAGTGATGGCATGTGCCATAGTCTGCCCCATAATACCATCATATTGTGTGTTGCTGTTTCACCTAGGCTAGGACTTATGTCCTATGGGTAGTTTCACTTGGTTGTCCTATGGAATTATAATTCTAGCTTGCTGACAAAGGCCCTGGGAAAATATCCCCATCCCCCCCCCCCCCCCCAAAAAAAAAAAGAGCACAGAAATACCCAAGTAGAGTAACAAAATATATATACAGTATATTATATTTATAAATAAAAACTAACAATGTTGTATCACTCAGAGGATGTTCTACATATCCTTCATTTACAATTGATTAATATACAAGAATCATAAATATGATTATAGGCAAGATATTCAACCTAGACATCTTGGTCTGGTGATCATAAGCTGTATTATCCACTCGGGCAATATCATTATCAAAGACAGAAATGCATTGGGAAAACTGAACTCTCTTTGTAATTAATATATAGTTTCTCAAAACAATCCTATGATTTCATGCAAGTTAAATGAATATAAATTGGCTTATCTGAGTAATGAAGTGAAAATCTCTCAAACTGTGAGACCGTCCACCATGTCATCCCCGTCTGCCACTTTCTGGTCTAGTCACCGAGGACGCCCCTCTCACTTCTGCCCCTCAATACCAGCTGTCCAATCATCATTAAATAGCCCCTAAATATTCCCATTTAATAATGGTGGTAGGTCATATAAGAGTACATTTTTCATATACAAAACATTGATATCAGGTAACGTACATTAGGCCTAGGAAGGTTAGGTTGAGTTACGTTTTCTTTGCAACATCGCTACAGAAACTTTTTAGGTTTGTCCAAATTGAATAGTACCAATTTCTACTTTTCTAATTGCCTTTTACGTCAATATATGTACGATGGTCCTCATCGTTACTATAAGTACTACCTAAACAGGAGGATGGGCTACATATTTAGGTAATTTCTGGTTGTGCATTATCATTATATTTTTAATCTATATATTTTAAGTGTATTGTTAATAAATATTTATCATAGTTATAGTTCATTTTTCTTGCCTCACATGATTATACAAGGACATGCCATTAGTATTACTTTGATGAGAGTTATAGAGAATGGGACATCAGCCTAGATAAATATTACTGAAGGAGCAAGAAATTAATTTTGGCAAGTAGAATCATTAATTTGCTGTCTAATGTATGATTATCTGTGACTATAAAACAGAGTCATAAAGTCATGCAGGATGACATTTTGACATTGATGTGTCAAGCTACATAGTTCGAAACTGCCATGCATGGTTATATAAAGTCTTACCAGTCATTAGAACTCACTCCAGTTCAAGATGAAGAAGTACTTGTGTAACTGCTTGAATGAATCTGACGGCGGGTAGTAGTACATAGGTTTCCAGTACTGTATCTTATCGAGATGATTTGATTTTCTTGAGGTTATCTTGAGATGATTTCGGGGCTTTAATGTCCCTGTGGCCCGGTCCTCGACCAGGCCTCTTTTTTTTGTTACACACCCCCAGGAAGCAGCCAGTAGCAGCTGTCTAACATCCAGGTACCTATTTACTGCTAGGTAACAGGGGCATCAGAGTGAAAGAAACATTTTGCCCATTTATCTCCGCCTCCACCGGGGATCGAACCCGGAACCTCAGGACTACGAATCCGAAGCGCTGTCCACCCAGCTGTCAGGCGTCCCCAGTAGGTGGCACAAGTCTCAGGGATTTAAGATATTTGAGAGGATCTGTTACTGAGGGACCTCACAGACAGGAATATTTCAATACAGTCAACACACAAGTTTTGCTTATAATAAAAGAACTTCCCCTTTCCACAAGAGGATAGAAAATATGGATCACTGCTCTCACAAACCAATTGCACCATAATCAGCAATATCATCACTTGCCATCTTGTACTTACTATGATGGGTGGTATTTACATTAATTAAGGCTGTACAAACCAGTAAGGTTAACTGCAGCAAATCTATAAAAAAAAATGATGTGAGATGGATGAAGAGTAGATTGAAAATAGCAAATACACATCAGAATGAAAATGAACAAAATACAGCTTTGGAGAAGAGATTTATAAACATTAGGAAACATGTTTTCATTCATAATTTATTTATTTCTCAAATAAAAGCATACAATGTCAAGTAACGCCACCACGTAAATGTCTGAATGAATATGCCTCATTATATTATATTTCTAATCTGTATTCTCGCAAACATACCCGTACATTAACTTACGTTTACTGATGACACAACCATAGTCTTTGTTATGTAATGCTTTGTTGTTCACTTTGTGATTTTTATACTGGCATTAAATAATTCAAATAAACTCTGGCATATATGTAAATCATCATTAATAATACACATCCTCCCGCATGAGCTACAAGGAAAGACTACTAGAATACAGTTAGGAAATACATGAGTACCACCTACAAGATTCTCAGGGAAATTGACAGGAAATTGTGTTCCACGGGTGAAACACAGGTGGAAACTTAGAATCCAAATGAGTCAGAGACATTAGAAAGAATTTTTTCAGTGTCAGAATAGTTAACAAATGGAATGCATAAGTGATGTTGTGGAGGCAGACTCCATACACGACTTTTGCGAGACCAAAATTGAAATATGCAATAATTGTATAGTGCACATATTAAAAGAAATACATCAACTGGAAAAGGTGCAAAGACATGCAACAAAATGGCTTCCAAAACTAAAAGACGAGCAATGAGACGAGGTTAGAGGCATTAAATATGCCAAAGCTAGAAGATGGAAGAAAAAGAAGAGGTGATATGTTCATTACAGTACTGTACATACAAAATAGTAAGAGAATTGACAAAATTTATAGGGAAAACTTCTCGAGACCTGGAACTTCAAGAACAAGGTGCTATATTATTAAACTAACTAAACAAAGGTTTTGCAAACAGAGTGGTAGATGATTCAAACAAGTTAAGTGAGAAGGTGGTGGAGGCCAAAATCATCAGTAGTTTCAAAACGTAATATGATAAAGAGTACTGGGAAGACAGGACATCACGAGCGTAGCTCTCATCCTGTAACTACACTTAGGTAATTGTAGCTTTAATTAAATGTTGATATGATAAAGCCCATTAGGCTGATGAACCTGTACACCCGTTGATTGATGGTTGAGAGGCAGGACCAAAAAACTGAAGCTCAACCCTCACAAGCACAACCAGGTGAGTACTGTACTACTTCCTTTTCTTACATTTATGCATACTTTCGATCACACATAATTGAAGATAATTAACCTCAAGATATGATATGGAAACCATGCAGAAAAGATAAGAATCCATACCAGGAATACAGTACCTAATTATTAGAAAAGATTTTAAAATCTATCTTCAGTGTGGCAGTTGACTGGATTTGAGAGAAGCAAGCAGTACCAGGTATTGCTAGCATGCAACACTTGAGGACTAATATTTTGTAAGTGTTTAACGGTATGTATTACATTTCCAGTATCATCATTAAATTCTGAAATTAGCAAACACCTTCATAAAGCAGCCTTTTTAGCACTCATAATTGCATCATTTACACCAATACCATCATAAGAGTTTCCAGCAAGATTTAAAGGAATCTTCAGGTCATGAATGAGCTTTCGGATGTTGTGCACTGTTTCAGAATGACCAACAATGTATTGTGGTATGCAGTCCCTTAAGATGCTGACCTTATAATGCACTGGTTCCATTTTAATATTTAGTGTTGCTTTAACTTCACTGATTGCAACATCAAGCAACTCATCATAAGAAGGGCTATCACCAAAGAGAGACTCGAACCAGTATCCTCCCATCATTACTGTTAATATAGTTCGGTCACCTTGAGGGAAGGTGCATGTATCAAAAATGACGCCAAGAACTTTGTTAGCTTGTGATGAGGGCACAAGATAACCAAACGCAGGTTCATGAAGCACCTGACCCTGATATTCCAGGTTCACAACACCTACTGTTGCATACGGAATGAATCCTAACAGAGAGCTTAGTTCTGGACTCATAGACTTCACTACAGAACTTAAGTTTCTAGATGGAAGACAAGACACAACTTTATTAACTTCTATTTCTTCTTTATCTGTCTGGATAACAAGTTTATTGCCAGATTTTTGTATTCCATTCACTGGTGTATTGTTCTTTAATTCAACACCATCCTGGGTGAGTTTCTCTTGTAAAACCTTAACAAAGGTTTCAAGCCCTCCTGATAAAGTCCAGACAGCCCACTTTTCTTTCCTAGCTTGTTTAACTAGTTCACACTTGGCTAGAAGTGGGTCAGGCTTTTCAGCATTTTTCCTATCTTTTAGCAAACCCATTAACACAGAGCCATGCCGTTGCTCAACGTCATGCATTCGTTTGGCTAGTGAGGTGACACTCAGATCACGAGCACTACCAGCAAAAACTCCCCTTGTCAATGGATCGATGGCATAATTGGCAACTTCTAAATCAAATCTACGATTCACAAAGCTGAAGAGAGATTCGTCATTGTTGATTACTTTCTTAGCAAATAGATCTTTGAGAGCACTCAAAGCCAGAGGTCTTGAGAACGGTGAACTTTTTGCAAACAGTGTTTTCAGGTTACTTGGGAGAGTATGCAGTTTGCCATCAACCTGCAAAAAACATTTTCACTAAAAACATTATTTGATGTTTTAGGTATATACAACATAATAAATGTATGCATGAGGTCTTAACAAAATTAAAAAATTTTAATGCTTTCATATTAGGTACCAGTATTCCTTTGCACTCTTGGAGTTATGAAAATTGAGTATTTCCAAGTTGGTGGTGTGGTTATTATTCTTAAAGCTTGGTACAACGCATACAGTTCAACTGTGAATACTGATAATTGGTTAGTCTCTATCCTTACTTGAAGTGGTAATACTGATGAAGGGAATAATATTTGTATTTTGCTTGGCAGCTGGTTTGTTTGGAGAGTTTAAACATCCCAGAGTACTAATGTGTGGTTAAGGATTTAGAGATGTTGACTAGACGGCTTGATTTAAATGGTTTTTTGCGAGTTCTCCAAGTGTGGTGCGGAGAGTCAAAGTGCATTTCAAGGCATTTGTGGTCTTTCCATGATGGATGGGGTATGTTATGGGTATTTATGTTTTTTGCTATCTGAAAGATTTTATCAATGCTGATTTGTATCCCCCACTGTTGAGCCCACTCCCTAAGGCAAGTTTATTGCAAGTATTGTAGTCAATACTAGTCAAGTATTGACTACATTATAGATACAGTATTACATAAGGTATTGCATATTGCTAGAGAAGTATAGGGAAAGATCAGCTGCATATGCCAGAAGGTGAATAAGGTTGGCATTTGGGATGTCAGCTAAGAAAGCGTCAAAAAAGTGTTAGACATAGAAGGGAGCCCATATACATATTCTAAATTAGAGTAAAACATTTTATAGACCTTGAAAATTATAAGTTGCTTAATTCCAAAACTTTCAAGAGTATCATTTTCAAGAGACTAATGGGAGTATATTCCAGAATTATGTGCATAAATGTAGAAATATTGGTGCAGTTACTCTTATTATCAAGATGTTGCTCAAGGTTCCATGCTCCCCTCACCACTGATGTGTTGAAATTATTATAAAATCTACCACTAGTGTTTGACATGATTTAATAATAACAACAGACTCCCTTACACCATTATAACCAGATGTTGACCAGACCATACACTAGAAAGTGAAGGGACGACGACGTTTCGGTCCGTTCTGGACCATTCTCAAATCGGACCAGTCACAATCGACTTGAGAATGGTCCAGGACGGACCGAAACGTCGTCGTCCCTTCACTTTCTAGTGTGTGGTCTGGTCAACATACTTCTGCCACGTTATTGTGACTCATCGCCTGCATTATAACCAAGTGTTCAAAGTTTGAGGCTAATAAGTCTAATAAGCTCCAGATATCACAGACACCACAATTTGGGAGAAAATTTAATTATCTTAAAATTATGAGGTACTTTCTACTGGGGACACAAATAGTAATTACTATACCAGAATCATCCTGTTCTTAGTTGATGCATGGCTATAGTTGATGCTGATGATTTTATCTGTTAGCCCCAAACTTTCTGCCAAGGCAAGTGTGTTTGCTCCAGGATTTCCTGCAACTCTGGTAAAGGTATACAAAAATAGAGCATTACATTTCTAAGAATTATTTACTTCTGAGAAAGGTTAAACATTTTTTAATTCTATGGCATAATTTGTAAATTTTTATACCTTTCATAAATAAAATGTCACTTGTTATGCAATAAATCGTACATACACATGCTAGCTGTACTTCATGGGCTCTACTGCTAGCTGCACCTTACAAACTCTGCTACACTTTACTGCCACTGCCACTGACTATCAGCCCAGCCTGAGGCCAGGCTCGACTTGCGATTACTTAATTACTTAGTAATAATACAAGAACTGTGTTTTTTTGTGTGAGAGGTAATTACAGTAATCTATATTACTGTACAATGTATTACCAATTTTACATATTTTATTACTGTATCAATTAAAAAATACAGAATTACTTATGATTTATGAAGAATTGATATGTGTGAATTTGGTCATCCAATTGTGCTAGGGTGGAGGGATGGGGTGGGATGGTGCAGGTATGGGAAGGAGTAAGTGTCTTCTTGTGCCACAAATTGCAAATAGCTGTGTTGAGGGATAAAGACGTGTTTATGCCACCCACTCACTTTCAGGGCTTGCTTTGATTGCCTGCATCTAGCTGACCTACTGGGGTGGTCATTATTTATGTAGACGAGTTCTTGTGGAAGGGAGGGAGGAGTGGTGTTTGATAGTCAAGCCACAATTCTATAGCACAGCCCAAAATGTACGCTATCAAACTGAAGATTCACCAAAGTGTGATTAGCTGAACTGTGGTCAATGAATATAAGCATAAGAGTAAGATCAATGATTCTAGGATGAATCTTCTTGCTATTTTTAGTGTTCTTCACTTGGGATGGAAGTTAAAAAATTAATGTTCCAAAGTTAATTAAAAAAAAAAAAACTGGGACATGACACCCGTTGCTAAATGACGAGCTTCGTTCAAGCTCTCAACATCTTCAGAGGCTGAGAGAAAGTGGATACAATTTAGCAGAAATACAGTAACAGTATATTCGGTGTTCTGTGTAGGATGAGATGCGGTGAAATGTTATCCAGTCAATGGTGGCTGGGGCAGTAGGTGTGGGGGTCAACTGACAGTTCTGTCTTGGCCTTGAGGATGGTAGGACTTACCAAAGTGTAAGCTGGTTGTTAATAGTTGGACAAGCATGTATGATATGTAGGACTTCAGCTATGTCTAACATTCTATCTTTTGTACGTACTGATTATTTGTGTTGCAGGGCTCGGTATCTCTGGTGATGGTCTGGTTGTGTATAGAAATAATCACAAGGAAGGGCATTACCATTTGCACTAGTTATCCCTACCATTGTTATCATGTTGCCCCTCTTAGCATACCGTAAAGCTTCATGAGCAATCACAGAAAATGTATATACAGTACAGTAGTCATATAACTAAATATAAAGTATACAGAATTATAGATGTGCCAAACACCAGCCTATATACTACAGACAAACAATGTCTGGGAAGCAAACTCCCATCCATCTGTCAAAAAACAAACAGTAAACAAGAGCAGCTAATAAAGCAAACCATGGGAGCCAGGCTTTATTCTAAGTTTAATTCTGAAGCAGAAATTCTGGAGCAATGTAAGAGGGGTTGCATTTGATGTATATCAACCAACCACTGTGCAACAGGGCAAAGAAAACCCTTCCAGCTAGGAAACTCTTACATTTAACAGAAAAAAATGACACTGCACCTTCAAACAAAAAGTGAAGCATAAAAGTCCCCAAATATTTATTATTATTATTATTATGATTTCAATGTTTAAATCCAAGTGTAAGGGAAGCCCAGCACTGAAGTCTAAGCCTTGGACAAACACCCGAGCCATCACCAGGGAAATGGTACAACTTGAGGTGTTGAACCACACTTAAAGCAACACAAAAAAGCCTCAGGAATGTTTCCTCAGGAGTAATTGGTCTTTGTCAAACAGCACCAAGAAATAAAAAATTAAAAGTGGCTGCAGCAATCAGCTATATAGATAGTCGGTAGGAACCAAAAGAATGGTGCATTACAATATGATAGGAATCTAACCTGTGCTGAAATAGCTTTCTCTAGAACCCAGACATATGAAAACTTAAGTTGGCAACTGTAGAATATGGAAGGTGTAGAATGACTTCAAGGGTATGGTGAGGGGTAGTGACACCTGGTAGTAGTCAGAGCAGTTTTAATCTCCAAATAGTAGTTTGAAGGTCACAATTTGTTCCATTGTTTAATTAATATTGAGCTGGTGCTCTCGATGTGGCTTGAGTTAGGCACACAGTCTCCCTTCCCTCAATGAATGACAGGACCACCTATCATGATGGGGATAAAAGTTACCAAAGGCTGGCAGGTGATCATGTCTAACGGGTGGACCATAAAGGCTTTGGTTATGGGATCATCTAAGAGCCTTTTGCTCAGCAATGTCATGTTTTCCAACTGTAACTAAATTTCATCTTTCACATTAGCAAACAAGGACCTTTGTAAAAGATGTGAAAACATAACAGATCCACATAAATCACTGAAATTTAATAACAATAACACAACACTTTTTCTACAAAGATAAAGAACAGAGGTAGAGCCACTGTTAGGTAGAACAATCACAGGAACTATGTTAATGATGTTTATGTGTAGCTTAAACAACATTGTACCAAGGAAACTTTTGTATTAATACAAGATTCATATTGTTGGCAAGTGGTAGAGGGAATAGTGATGCATCAATTGGTTATGTATCTATTAGAAGAGCCCATTATAGGTACATGGCAACACCTTATTGTGCGAGGCCCAAGCTCATACACTGCACCGTCTTGCTCCACCGAGTTGATCCATCCGCCTAATCTACTTGAGGCCTCAAACACAAGTATCTTGGATGAGGAGGCAAGAGTCTTCAAGTAGTGAGCAGCAGCAAGGCCACTTATGCCACCTCCAACTACTGCTATCATACTGAATGGTGTTCTGGAATAATAATGTTAATCAAATAAGTCATATCTATAATTACTATCTTTACTTTTCCAGGCAACAACAATACAGTATTTATAATTTAACATCGAAACTCTAGGGGTGTTCTGCACCCCTTCCAGATATTAAAACATTCTGGATTTCAAATAATTTCAATTTTTTTTTTGCGTAAATCATACACACAATTCTGCATACTGTACATTATTTATAAATACATTAGTGTACAATATATGCATTGTGATTTTTAATTATAAAAGTACCGTATTAAATACATGAAAAATATTGTTTTACTTACCTTTTTGTTGCACAGATGTGTTTAAGAGGTAGTACAGTTGGGTTAATTCTCAACTCACAATTGTGAATCCTGGGTTCAATGGGACAAATGGTTGGGCACGTTTCCTGTCACCTAGTCATAAACAGGTACCCCAGGAGTTAGTCAACTGTTTCAGTCAACTGTTTAACTCAAAAGTAAAATGGGTACTTGGTTGTTAAATGATTTTTCACGGGATCGTATTCCAGGGAACACAGGATTAAGGCCTTGCCCGAAAAGCTACACATACTAGTGGCTGTACAAGAATGTAAGAACGCTTGTATATATAAATAAATAAAAATAAAAAATAAATAAAGGTCAGTAGTTTGACCTGGGGAGACCTCAATATAAGCCTAATGTGCTGACCTATCAGTGACTAAAGTGGAGTGAGCTTTAGCTCTTTATACCTCACCTCTTAGCAATTCATACCTGGCAGGCTAATTACCTCTCCCAACATTATCCTTTTTATCATAATTCTTTTTAAAAATTGTGAATAGAACTGACTTCAACAACCTCTTCCTTCAATACATTCCAATTTGCCTACCACCCATACAATGATGGAGAACATCCCTACATTTCAAATCAAATCAAATGTTTATTTAGGTAAGGTACATACATACAAGAGATTTTACAAAGAGTGAGCTTTCTTTGACTAGACTACATGTCCAATTTCCATTGATGTCCCCTTATCCTACCTATTTTTAATTTAAATCGGCTTCCTTTATCCCCTTTATCTACAGTATTTATCTCTCAAGATCTTGGACACAGATATCGTATTCCCTGTTTCTTCTCTCCTTTGGTTGTGAGGCAAAGTTGTCTCAATCTGTCCTCATAGCTGAGGCTTCTCAATTCTGGTACAGGTACTAATGAAGTTGGAAACCTCTGAACATTCTCAAGTTCAGAGGTTTCCAACTAGATTATTTGAGAAAGTTTATACCTCTGAACTTTCTCAAGTTAAGAGGTATGCTGGGGCTGCATACTCAAGTAATGGTCTTACATAGGCAGTGTGTATGGACCTGCATACATCCTTGTTCAGATTCTTAAATCATTTTCTTCTTATGTTATAGCTAAATTCAGGTCTCCTATCTCCCTTACCCATTTTCATTAATTTGCACTTATTTGAACTGAATTCCCGCAGCCATTTATATGCCCACCCTGAAGTTTGTTAATTAAGGTCTCCTTGCAGCACCCTACAGTCCTCTTTAGTTCTTACTCTCCTCAATAACTTTGTATCGTCTGCAAACATCAACATACATGAGGTCATTCCCACTATGAGGGAGTGAGGATGCCCAACCACTTGGGCTGGACGGTAGAGTAATGGTCTCGCTTCATGCGGATTGGAGTTCAATCCCCGACCATCCCATTGGTTGGGCACCATTCCATACCCCGTCCCATCCTAAATCCTTATCCTGATCCCTTCCCAGGGTTATATAGTCGTAATGGCTTGGCGCTTTTCCCTCATAATTCCTTCCTTCCTTCCCACTGTGAGGTTATTTACATAAATTAAAAACAGCAATGGTCCTAGGACAGAGCTCTGTGGAGCACCACTTTTCACTCCTCTTCAGCCTGACATATCCTCTCAGACTCTGACCCTTTGTTTCCTGTCAGTCAAGTATTTCCATACCCAGTCCAGTGCCTTTCCTATAATCCCAGCTGGTCTCTCTATCAAGTATGAATTACTCTTTTGTGATGAAATGCATCAAAAACTACTTTGCAGTCTACCTATCCTTCCTTCTCTTGTCTTATTTTGGTGACAAATAAAATTCAATCAAGTTTATTAAGCATGATTTCCCCTCTCTTAAAGCTGTGTTGTGCCTCTGTTATCAAACTTACTCACACCAAATATTCTGCAATCCTTCTTCTGATGACTTTTTATAGAATCTTGCTTTAAATGCATGTTAACAATACTGTACTCGCCTACTGTTTAATGCTTCATATGTCTCCTTTCTTGAATATTGGAACTACATTTGCCTTCTTCCAGATTTACAGTAGCTCTTCCATCTCTAATGTAATGTTGAATGAAAGGAAATGAGTGAAACATTAAACAAACAGATCCAGTGTGTTTGTGCACACTGGTTTTCAGAGAACCAGACAATAATACAGTACTTCTGGAGAATAACAGAGAACATAAAGGTGCCTAGAAACAGAGTGAAAAGCTGGTCAAATAGCTAAGTACTGTAGGAATAAAGCAGTTGGTTCAAATGATGTTTAACCTTGAGTTCTAAGAGAATGCACACCAGAGCTCAAGATTCCACTTTAATTAATTTTTCAATCTCTATATACAGAAGTCCTAGCAGATATACAATATGGAAAAAGGCTAACATAGTTTGAATTTACAAAAAATGGTAGCAGGGCAGACCTTAATTATAGACCTGTATCATTGACATGTGTTGTACAGTAGTCAAAATATTGGAATAAATAATTAAAACTAAATGGATCGAACACTTGGAGAAAAATTATATAATAACAAACAGTATGGTTTTCGATCAGGAGGATCCTGTGTAACAAATCTACTTAGTTTCTATGAGTGAGCCACAGAGATTCTACATGTAAGAGATGGCTGGGTTGCCTGCATTTATCTGGACCTAAAAAAAGGCTTTCAACAAAGTCCCACATAAGAAGTTGATCTGGAAGCTGGAACATGGAGTGACAGGCAGGCTTCTAACATGGAAGACAAATTTTCTAACAGAAAAATGAGAACAGTAATGAGGCAACATATCAGACTAGAGAAATATCAGGAGTGGAGTACCACAGGGTTCAGTTCTTGCACCGGTAATGTTCACTGTCTACATAACCTATGAGAAGGAACAGAGAATTATATGAACATGTTTGTTGCTGATAAGATACTAGAGTAGATAAGAATGCAGAATGTTCCTTTACCTGATATCTTATATATAAAACAAATGAAACATGGAATGGAGTCGTCGTGGTCGTGGGCGGTAAATGACCAACACTGAAAGAGGAGACCTGCCATTACACGTAAATACAAGTACAGGAGGAAGACTCACCTGCAGGACCCTCACCACCACCTGGGTGCTGATGACTGAGGGACGAGGAGGGACGAGGAGGGACCGGCTGCCACCAGGGCCCAGGGGACGAGTGGCCCCTCTCCACCCTGGGGCCCGCCACCATAACAACAATAACAAACCTGTAGCACTTCCTAAATATTCCCAGGTCACCAATAAACAAGGGCCCACGTTTGAACAACGCATGCAGTTGAAATTACCATTGACTGCTAATTACCAAAAACCGGGAAAATTACACCAAGAAGAAGAGAAGCAGCCATCAAGACCACACTAAGATAGCTGCTGCCCTGCGTCTCAAGGGAGATGTTCTGAAGCTGTGGCTGGTGACTACCACGAGCCAGGCTCCAAGGTGGTGAAGTGCCCCTCACCACACCACTCTTACCCCACCAAAAACACCTTCACGAACTGCACCTACTATAAAGGTGGTATAATAGCCCGTGCTACATGGACACTTCGTCCTGAGTAGCTAAATCTGAAACAACAACAACAACAAGAGAGCTCAGGCTTGCTGGGTGGCTCTGCTTTCTGCTTTCGTGGAGGTTCCTGCTGTAGAGGTTCCTGCTGTGGTGGTTCCTGCTGTGGTGGTGTCTCCGGGAGGACCATGACCATTCACCTTGCCATTTTGATATTCGGCAAGTATAGACTTGACCCTCATGCCGTCAGGTTCACTATTGTATTTGGATAGGGGGTATGGTGGGACTTGGACTTGTAAAGGGGTATGGAGGGACTTGTAGAGCACCAGTGCACTCACAGCCCATACACTAACTGCATGAATCAAAAAATTATCGTGAGATTTGTAATTTGTGTTATTGTGCTGCTTTCATAGTGGATCATGAAATAACTGGGTTAAGTAATTGAATTAGTTTATTGTAACCTCCATAGAAGCCTACACACACATGCAGTCTGTGGCAGAAGAGAGGCAGAATAACATAATATCTTCAGAAATTAAGCCAAGGCCCTTGGCAGGTGAAGTACCTAAGCATAATATAGTTGTGCTGAACTATAAAGTTGGTTCCCTGTGTGATACAGAATGTGAAATAACACAAATGAAAGGTATAAGAAGGCAATGACAAATCATCATAATAATGAACCCTGCAACAAGAACAAATTATAATAATCTAATATCCAGCCACTTTGACTGGACGGTAGAGCGACAGTCTTGCTTCATGCAGATCGGCGTTCAATTCCCGACCGTCAAAGTGGTTGGGCACCATTCCTTCCCCCCATCCCATCTCAAATCCTTATCCTGACCCCTTCCCAGTGCTATAAAATCATAATGGCTTGATAATGAAAAAATTACAATAATCTAATGAATAAGATATATTTCTAAATAGCACATATAATGAACTGTGTATCTTAATTAGTAATAACATTCTAGGTCAAATAAGACTGGTGCACTAAGATGGATGAAGTGTTGAAGAGTGTGAAAGAACTGGAGCTGCATGATCAACAGAATCTCTTGATCGCTCTGGTGACGGGACAGCCGCCGGAAGTACAGCAAGCTCTCCTTCTTCCCACCATTACAGCCGCTTCCAGGTTAATCCTTAATACATGTGGACTATTTGCTTCCTCTTAAGTTTCTTTCACTGCATATTGCCTTTACTAGCATACTGCACTGTGAACTCATTTAGTGATTTCTTTGAAAAACACAAACATTTCTGGGCAACCCCCTAAGTAGCTTATGTTCTAGCTGTTACTCTTGGTATATGTGTGTATATATACATACATATATATACATGCATAAATATACATGCTATGTTTCTGTAAAACTCTCATTGCTGAACAAGAACAAGAAGCCTTGCAGTTTCCCCTGCACCCCTTTACAAATCAGGGAGCTATGGCGATCAGCAATCAATCAAACACCTGCCTAAATTGCCCTAAAAGTGCCAAAGTACAAAAATAAAGCTCTTATTTCATGTTCCAGCAACTCATTGTCGTGATCCAGAGAGGAAATGCTTGCTGTTTGTTGAGCATGCGCCCCACCTCAGAAGAGCTGGATGAGGTATTCGAAGAGTTATTCATACATACATACATACAATGGGGCCTCGACTTACGATGCTAATCCGTTCCCAGAGACGGATCGTAAGTCGAAGCAATTTTTCCCATAAGAAATAAAGGGAATTGAATTAATCCGTTCCCCACCCTCCAAAATATTAACATACATATACATTTTATACTGAATACAATACATCTGAGGCACCAATTGTGTATAACAAGGACAAAGGGAACCCCAAGGTGAACAAAAGGTTGTCAGCTAACCAAACGGAAACTGGTACCTCATTCTAGAACCAGGAAGCAGCAGAGGATCCATACTCGAAAGAATTGTTATGCATCTCTGAAGAGTAGTCATGTTCTCAAAGAGAATATGCTAAGTGTAACACATACACAAGGGCTTGTCACTTGTGGGTACCATACAGGGAAGGAATAATCTATGCCATTCCTTTATCATTCTTGTCATAAAATGTGATTTTATGATCTGTACCATTCTTTCTGTAGTTGGCAAGGTTTTTATGCTTTGGGAATATTCCTAACATGCAGTGGCAGAATGTTGCCATACTTAATTTAACACATGTATACTGCATCTCTATCATTTTGATATTTAATTTCTATCAAGATTAATGGTATTTTTAATTTCATCTTCAGTTATGTAAAATGGCGTTTGGTGACTTCAATCTCTAGCCAAGACACCCCAGACTTGTTGAGGCTGCTGCCCCCAGAGTTACAGATTGTTGTACTCCAGTTTGTAGATGGCCCCAGTCTCTTAAATGCTGCTCAGGTGTCAAGAGAGTGGAATAGGTAAGTTTGTGGTTTGTAGTACTGTATGATAGTAAATTATGATGAAAAACTGCTATTGCCATAATAGTTAGGTCAGAACTAGGAGACTGTTTTTCAGTTTGTGTATGGGATATGGTAAATAGAAAAGTTAATGAGTAATTTAATTAAATGTTTCCTCTATGCAATATCTCATTCAAACATTTTGGTGGGTCCCTGAGACCCACCAAAATGGGGGGGTGGGTCTACTAGGTCACTACTATGACCCACCATAGTAGTAGTGGGTCACTACTATGATCACACTACTAGGTCACATCAAACCTAGTGATGAACTAGGTCATCGAACTACTAGGTCACATCAGCTGTAGAGTTCTTAGGCCTACTGGGGACTAGAGCCAAAACCTGACCCCTCCCCCCCCCCTCAAAGAGGCACAGGGAGCAGGTGACACTCTGCCACCTCATCAGGGAAGGCCTCCAGAAAGTCAGCAAATTAAAATAGGCCACTGCTAGGTTCAAAAAGATATGGAAGTTCGCAATCCTAATGAACTTCACCAACTTTGTAAACAAATGATCGCCTCCCCCATTCTTTTGGGGAAGGAGAAGGGGCTCGCACCATCCAAGGGCCCAAACCCTCAGTTTTTATGCTGAGGTGTTCACACCCAGTCAAATGTTGTAGGGTTCCATGCTTGCCTTTTCTGTGCAGCCTTCACTGCTTTTCAGCTGGATGCTTTAGGACTATGCCTTTTGTGGCATTCTGTGTACACTGTGGTGTAGCATGAGCCTGGTGTATAGTGTGCTTGGAGCTGCATGTGTTCAGGTCTTCCTTCAATGAGTGCTCCCTAGTGTTGCCCTTGTACTTTCAGAGTTATCTTCTCTGGTGTGTTTGGGAGTTTGCTCCATTAGAGGTCTGTCTTGCATGAGGTGGCCCTCTCCTTGGCTAAGTCAGGGGCCTTGGGGCCCCCTCTGTCTTTGGGTTGGGAAGGGGAATTATCAGGGGAGAACACCAAGCCATTACAACTATATAGCACTGGGAAGGGGTTAGGATAAGGATTTGGGATGGAACGGGGGGAAAGAATAGTGCCCAACCACTTGGACAGTTGGGGATTGAACGCCGACCTGCATGAAGTGAGAATGTCGCTCTACCTTCCAGTCTAAGTGGTTGGGCTGTCTGGGTTGGGAGTGACATTGGCTGGTGGAGTGCACTTGTGGCTCATATACTTAATTTTTACAGTGAGCCAAGGTTGGCTTTCACAGCTTCCGGCCAACCTGATGTACAGGTTACCTTATCCTGTGATGGTTTCGAGGCTTAGCGTCCCCGCCGCCTGGTCATCGCTCAGGCCTCTACAGGTTGTATTAATATACAACCTGTAGTAATGATGTGCAAAAATACACAGCTCTTGTGGTTTGTTTTGCTAATATGTTCATGGGTAATATTCAGGTTTGAAATTTATGGAAGTCAACCAGGGTGTTGGCCACTGTTTGAGTACTTATTAGATGTCGTGCATCTGCACCACATTGTCACCTAATCAAACACTACACTTGGCAGGGGGACACTGTACTGATATCTCTTTTTTTCGAGCCTCGATTTTGTGCCTACTCCATGGGCAAGCCCTTTTTTGTCTGTTCGCATAATGATGTGTTCCTTTTCAGCAAAGTCATTCACCTCTCTGAAGTATTGCAGTTAGCAAGTTCCAGTGAGCCATTTTCCCAATGAATCAAGATGTTTCATTACAGTTTTTCACTACAATTTTAAATTATTTGAGAATAACTAACTAATAATAGCATGTATACAATTACCACTGTAGATATTAATCCGCTAAATTGACTGTGACGGCAGTGATTTAGTATTTATTATAAGGAACACTTAGGAAGATAGAGTTAGAGCTGCTTTGTCAACCAACTACTGTACTGAAATGTCTTTCCATTCAATTTTTTGGGGTTGATGGCCATATACAGTATGTGAAGTAGGGTTAGATTCAGTTAGCGAAAAGTGAATTGGATTTGATTAGGCTTGGCATAGCGTGAGCATTTATTGTCGACCTCTGTTTTGCCACCATTTTCTTAATGTACTATGTAAGTAGCATACCTGGTTGGCTGATCAATCAAACAAATGAACACTTCAATGTAGTAATTGTGTAATTGACCAAATAGTACTGTACTGTACATGTTTGTTTACACAGCTGGCATGATAAAGTGCCACGTCGATTGCTACATTCATGGCCTCCATGTGTTATGTTAAATGGTGTTAATAATAATATTTTAGTTTTTCGTGTCAATGTCACACACATAACAGTTAATATCACGTAGAATATTAATCACGTAGATACAACAGATCATATAAATATACCAATGACACTTCTGGAAAATGTTTATTTCAGCATTATCAAGACTCACAACAACTTATGGGTCAAGAAGTGCAAGGAATTGGGAGTAAATATTGATAAAGTCAGTTGCGATGCTAACTGGCACGAGGTCTATGTGTTGTCTCTACGGCAGCAATTATCACTTAAGAATGGAACTGCCTTCAGTGAGCGTTTCATGCAACTTCAAAACTCCAAGAAGGCAGTTAAGGCTGTGGATTATCAGAATGGCTTTCTCTGCACAGGTATTTGTACAGTACACTTTTAGCTTTCTTAATCTCTCTCATAAGAGGATTATAATTCCATGGATTAACTTTGTCATCTTTTGTACATGTTTAAGTGAATTTTGTCCATTTTATATTATGAGGTAAATTTATACTAAGGCAAGGGAAAGCAAAAGAATAACAGTAGATGTACAGTATTATGACTACCGCTTCTAAATATGAATCCCAGTAGTTTATTTGCCATGTTTCGAACATTTATATATATATACAGTATATTGATTTTTCGGCTTAAGATCCTTAGTAATCATGACCCAGATCTTTTTGACATTTAGATTTGGCAGTTTCAAAATTTTGCAGTTGATATCTGGTTTTGTAACATTCTTATCATTATCTAAGCTAAGGATCCTTTATTTGTCATCATCAAACTGTATCTGACAATCTTTTTGTTCACCTTAAGTGTAGTAATTGATAGTAATTGAAAATCAATTACTGTGTACAGTAATTGATTTTCTGGATAAACATTTCTATTCTTAAATACATTTGCCTTGTAATATTTATCTAGTAGGAAATTTACAACAATTGCTATTGACAGCTACTGTATTTATTTGTAATGATCCTTTTAAGAAAAATGCCACATATGATCAGGATTCCTCCCTTCCCTCTTGACTAACTAGGTTATTTCTGTTCAACTATAATAGTGCCTCACTCCTAAATTTTTCCATAAATATATTTTCCACTACGTAACACAATTAACAGGTTTGCTCTAGCTACCAGCCAAAATACTGTATTTCCATTTTGTTAATGTTATCCCCATTTCTCCACTCCTAGATACAAAACCTTAACCTATTTTTAATATATTTAGCACAGAAATCAATGTCTATTTACCTAACTTATGAATCCCCAACTATCTTCTTAGTCGTTCTAATATCCTAATGCTTGTTAACTTTCAGAGTAGAAAATTTCTTAAAGCTATTTTGCTATTTATTCCTTATCTTCCTCTAGTGGCAATACACATTTCCTTGCCTGCTTTACTTTGCATAGTCTGTCCAACTCTACTCTCAGGGTAAAGACTTGGCTCCACAATTTCACACAATTCACTTACCTCCATCGTGACTCACACTAGCAATAATCCATGCAGCACTAAGATGTTTGCCCAATGACTAACACCGGTTATGCAAGTGAGCACTAACTTTGCACATCTGCTTGAGACAATTCTCCTTGCTCATAAAAACTGATTTTTAATCTGAGCAAGTTAAATTTGAACTTTCTTTGAAGTTTCCACTTTTACAATTTTAAACTAAATTCAAATAAAATAAATGAATTAAATTCTGTTTGCTTTTCAGTGTCGGAGGAGGACTATGTAAATATCTGGCAACTGGAACTCAACATCCCAGTTCTGACGTTCCCAGTTGAGCGTGCTGTTTCTTGCATCAAGTTCAGACCAAATTCTCTGCTCATCTGTGGCCATTTTGTTGGCATCTTAACAGCTTGGGATGTGAGCATGATGAAAAGACTGTCATGTATCGTTTATAATGAAATGGGTGACAATGTCGATGATCATTCTCTCCTACGGTCCAAGTTCAAGATGCACGCTGGTCCCGTGTTCAGTAGTGACTTTTCTGAAGACTTAGATTTATTAGTCAGTGGTGGAGCAGACGAGTGCATCAAACTGTGGTGTTTGTCAACTGGTCTACTCGTGAAGTCTTTACCAAATCAAGATAATTGGATTTTGCGGGTTATATTGTTGCCAGATTTGTGTCACAATTCCCATCATAATATTATATATATGACAAGAGATAATGTCAATAAAATAAGCTGGCCCACAAATAACAGTGAACAAAACTCCGTAGAAAATGTGTCATATGATAATAGCGATTCAAGCTCCATCTATGTAACTGATAAACTTGGTAACATAAATGACATTTCTTGTCCTTTGCAAATATGCCTTAATGAAGGGAACAATAATTTCTTTACACCCGGTCTTCAGTACAGTAGCAAGTTTGTGGGACTAATCAAACAAGACATTGATGAGAAACATGCAAATTTATGTGTATACGACATAGAAACATTTAAAATTTCCTATAACATAATATTGAAATTCAAAGTGAAAAAACTTCTTGCTCTTGGAAACAGGTATGCCTTGCTCTTGACAGTTGGCAATGTTCTCTACTCATCGACGCTCGTCGTTGTGGATGTTGTGACGGGGGAAACTGCTGGTACCCATGCTGTTCCTCATTCCAAGTAAGTTATAGAATATCTGAATCAACCAACTGAGAACAATGTTAGTTATTGTCTTAAGTTATTGTATATATATATATCTTTTTTTTACGTTTTAAAGGAAGTACATGATTGTCATTTTATATTTCAAATCAAACATAATAAAAACATAATTCAAATGGTTTTCATTTGAATTAAAAAAATTCAGTAATATTCGTAGTTCAAAAAACATAAAATTTATGAAGCAACTACTATACAACAGCCTCTTTCATCTAGACTACATTCTTGCAAAGTTATCTAGTACAGTACTATATAATAATTCAATTCAGTAAACAACTGTCTTTCTATAGTGGAGGCAAAGCTAATTCAGACAATCTATCTTCACCCATTGTAGAATGAAGGTATGACTTTATGTGCTTAAGCCAGCTGAAGGATAGCTCTGCAACTGCCCTAGTTATTGGTATGGTCAGAAAAATGTAGTACATTGTGGACAAGTTAGGATAAATAGAACACATGTCATTGGCAATCATAAATTTAAGTACATTTTTTATGGTCACTTTCTTGTTACTTAAATTTTCTCACATTGCTAGTGTTTATTATATCTCTATACACGTCTTTGAATGAAAGAAACTCCTGTACGATTTCAGTTTTATCACACAAGTGAATTAAAGTTAAAAAAAAAAGGTTGGAAAGGTGCCACTTTGTATAATGTGCTCAGGGTAACCGACTGCTTCTCTTGCTTTCCCTCCTGGCTACACCACTGTATAGGATCCCGCAGAGGGTGGTGGTGGGCAGTAATGCTAGCCTTACAAAAGTGTGCAAAAGAAACATAATACTAGAAATACATACTCTCTCATACACAACTTGATATACCATACATTACTTGCAAACACTAGCAAATGAAACATGAAAGTTAACATTGACAAATATAAAACAAACTGACATTTAAATAAAACATTTAGATTCATGAAAACAAAAGCTAGACATTACATACCAGTCATTACATTATGATATCCCATTAGTGACTGCTCCATATGGACAAGTTCCATCTTGGTTATGTTTACATTTTTTTTCAAACAAAAAATATTCCCCATATTTTGTAGTTTCCAATTTAGTCTTATCATTGGGAATTCTACCAAAACCTTATTTTAAAGCTAATTTGATCTTATGTGCCTATTTTGATAAAATATACATGATGTTTTATGTATAAATTAAAAGTTTAGTTCTCAAAAATACATAAATATGCCAAACAACAAAGCAACTCGTGTAATAAAATACACTTACAGAATATGGATTGTATATATTTGACAGAATGACAACACCAGATGGAGCCCAGCTTGTGGTGGGTGACATAGATTGGCTGGACGGACTTGGAGGACACTTGCTGGACCGATTACTGCTACCAATATGCGCTGAACTAAATACTGTAAAAGACAATGACAGTAAAATTACTGGAAGTTGTCTTTTTGTAGCTACAGATGCACAAAATCTCAACACACCAAGCAGCATAGCATATGGTGATGGCTTTTATAGACCACATGATCAAGATGGGAGTCGTGAGTTAGATATACAAAAAAACTTGGGTTGTCATCCAGCTGAAGAATACAAGTGTTGGGATCCTGAAGAAGAGTCCTCACCTCTTGGTGCTGCTGGAGGGGATTGGTGTGTGGCTAATTCTGAGACAAGCCCTCAATACTCCAACAACAACAGGCCTGTTGCTTCCTCCTCTGAGTGTGTGCCCCTCCAGGTCATGAGTACTCAGTGCCACAGAAGTAACGTAAAATGTGCGAAAGAAAGACACACGTCAATAAGACTAGAGAGGCCTAGTCATTTGGTGCTGGCTGCAGGAGTGCAGAGTGAACCTGGCAGATTGTTTACCCTTTGGTGGTCTCATTCTGAACTGTCATCAAAATGTAAAAAGGAATAATAAACTATGTATAGGGATAAGTGCATTAAAGTTTGCATTCTTGTGAATTTCAATTTGTATTTATTTCTGTATCAGTTACGTTCTGCTTCTAGCTAATGTGAGGTTCAACAGGAACAACCTTATGCTGAAATGAGGAGTTAAGTAAACTTTCTTTTTTTAGTGAAAGTCAGATCAGTATATTTAACTTCTCAAGTTTAGCAAGATAAAATCAGCTTCAAATTATTGAGTGCTTCATATCTACATCACCATTCTTCCCCATGTAATTCTACACTGCATACATTGTCTGCATAAACCTTGTGGCACTCCACTGACATGGTGCTAGAACAGTCTCCACATTTGCTCCCCGTATTGTATTTTGAACATTTTAAGTGTTTACAATTTTTTTGCCAAATTTAATAGTTGGGGCAAACAAAATTATTGTAGTAGATATCCTATAAATGCATGGGGAAAATGCAAATAAAAATAGATGTTCTTTTATGCTAATTTATGAGTGTATGTTCTTCATATGTGAACAATTTCCTTAATAGTAATGTAATTTTTTTTGTTAGCAAAATATAATAATGTATAGCACAAAATGTATTTATACAGAAATATATTATTCTTTAGCACATAATTTCCTATAATACTATACAATACTAAAAATGTATCACAGATATGGTACAACATTCGAGAATGTGGCAATAAATTATTTACTGTATTCATCCTTGTGGTGTTCAACCCTCACCATGCTATCACCGATTTAAAATATAACAAATTCTACATTTTCTGACTACGTATAATAACTAATGAAACCTAGATCATAGTTGTCATGTTTTAAACCTTGTTCATAATAACACTTTCCATCATATACAATACCACCTTTGTTAAGCATCAACAATATTAATGTTTGCAGAAAGGTCAGGTGTTAAGGGTTTAAATTCCAGTGAGGCTGCTGAGGCCATAAGTTGACAACAAACTCCACACAGTAGTTAGGACATAACCACCCCCTCTCCTCTAGTTACAGCTGGCCACCACCAATTTGAAGGATGTACTCTCACAAGTCAAGCCTGGCCTCGGGCCGGGCTTGGGGAGTAGAACAACTCCCAGAACCCCATCAACCAGGTATCAACATCAGTTTTGCTACATTATGATGGTCATTTGTACTGTCTCTGTTATGCTGCCTGTTTAGTGCGAATACAACCCTCTGCCCCAAGGCTTGCAATGTTTGGGTTTGCTGGGTCTCTATTTTAGGTAGAGCCTCCATCATTTGTTTTCCTTATTTTATTTTTATAGTGACAAGGGGCCAGATTCACGACAGCACTTACGTAAGCACTTACGAACGTATACATCTTTCCTCAATCTTTGACGGCTTTGGTTACATTTATTAAACAGTTTACAAGCATGAAAACTTCCCATTCAACTGTTGTTATTGTTATAAACAGCTTCCCGGTGCTTCGGAGCTCATTAACTGTTTAATAATTGGAAACAAAGCCGGCAAAGATTGAGAAAAGATGTACAGGTTCGTAAGGGCTTGCATAAGTGCTTTCGTGAATCTGGCCCAAGGTTTCACAGGTGGCAGCTACTTCTGGTTTGTTTACCAGCTTTGGTGCTTTTGTGTCTTGGTGCCAATGATTGTCTCAGAATTGGCCCTTTTTAGATTTTTTGGATTTGGCCCTTGAGTGGCTGGTAACTTCTACTAGTTCTATGATTCACCTCTTCTCCTTCCACTGACCATCTGTTTTGGCCACATTAGCTGTTCATGGTTGCTTTCCTGATACTACTAGCCTGTAACCAAGGTGACATATTCACTATTTTATCCAAGACAGTATCTGTTTACTGGAGGCCTGAGGAAGTGGATGCGAGCCCTGTGTATCCACAGGTGTTTCAGATATTGTGAAGTATCTCAGGACAACTCTGGTTGCAATGCTTACCACCGGTCAAACATATTTGTTTGTAATGTGCACCACCAGTCAAATATCTCTGACTGCAATGTGCAGTTGAAGAGCTAGGGACCAGTTTCTTAGAAGTCAGTTCCTGGTCCTGCAGTGCAGGTTTGTTTCTGGATACTTTTTCTGGGCTTGCAGTGGTGGTGCCATTGCCCAGCTCCTTGCTGGGAGCTGGGTATCCCAGTTATTCTGTTCCTCTGGTCAGCCCTACAGTGTGTTTTGCTATTTCCAGTTTGGTTGTTTTCCTTCAAAGTCTGACCTTTCACACGACTGTCTCATGTCTGCTTAGCGTACTACTTGTTGGTGATTCCGAAGATCAACGTCCCCCCCTGGCCCGGTCTCTGACCAGGCCTCCTGGTTGCTGGTCTGATCAACCAGGCTGTTCGATGTGGTTTTTTGGTGCTCAGTGCCTTCCTCCTCTATTGCTTGTCCGTGCAACACTTTAGCCCTGACTTGAATCATTCTGACCGGTGTTCCCCCAGGCTTCCCAGAGACATTGGGCGAGTCCCTCTTTTGGATGCACAGTATGGTTCCTGAGTTTGCAGCGGTGTATCAGGCCTTATTGCAGGTCTATCTCCCTCTAGGCTTTGTTCTCTGATTTTGGTTCCCCATGTGATTCATGTGTGGGATGTGTCCAACATTTGCATGGATGGTCTCTCGTTTCCATGGAGTTGAGATATTCGATTGCTCCGAGGTGGACCTCTTTTGCAATGGCTTTTAATTTGTGGTATCTGCTCTATGTGGCTCCATTCTCTGATCGTGAGACTAGCAGTGGATGCCTTTTGGCTGGACTGGTCGAGGTAGGGATTCTTCTGTCTCTACCTCCGGTTTGGTTGTTGCTCTAGGTTTTGTTTAGACTGGAGACTTACACTGGCAGGGTGATCCTTCTGGCACCTTGGTGGCTAGCTCAGTCTTAGTCTCCAGCCCTTCTAGCTGTCTGAACCCAGAGGTGAAGTTGCATTTCTACATTGTAATCTACTGGGTGAGTGGATAGCACTAAATACTGTGCAAGTTGATTGCATGAGGTGGGATACTGTGAAGATGGAATTAGGGACTTCATAGTTCTACTTTTGAATAAAGTATAGGTTTGACAATTTAATTCATTAGGGAAAGTTCCATATATTGTGCCCTTTTATTTGCATGTCATAGTTGTATAGATTTAGTCTGACTGGGAATATCAAATAGATGTTTCTGGTATGTTCATGGGTTCTATTACATCTTTATTTATATTTATATATTAATGTACAAGAAGATACATTGGGTTATTAAAGTACATTTGCTGGCGAGTAATACATCCCTGCAAAACTGATGGATGTAATGCACTATTGGCGCTTACAGACTGAAGCAGATAAATATGACACTGGAGATCAACAGCAGCATTTTTTGTAAAAGTATTTGGTCCACATATGTTTACCAGACATAAATGCCATTGAATGTGGCAGCACGCAAGTTGTATATACTGTATGTACAGTATATAAAAAGGTAGGTGAATACATCACAGTGAATGAATGAATATGAATACATCATTTCAAGCATCAAAGTACAATAGATGTAAGCAATGAAGAGCTCGTCACAAAAGACAGTATAGTACAGTATACGAGTTGCCAACACAGCGTGGTATGCCAAGTCAGGGCTAAACATAGCAGAAGCTGTAGGGCCATCAAGGAGCTTGCCCTTGGGTAAAGACGGAGTAAATCTTCCAGAAGTGCAGGACTTCTCTTGGGCCTGGTTACCCACAGTATGAGTCAGAGGGAGTAAGAGAGTAAGATTTTCATACAATAAGTAGAGAATAAAGCTGGACCTCTAGGGGGGCTTTTTAGAGATCTCAGTGCAACAAGGGGAAGTTGTGCACAAGCTGACAGACAGGGTATATCATCTCCATTAGCTCTCCACCATTTTAACAGGTAGACAAGTGATGAGACTTGTCTAACTTATAACTCGAGAAAAATTGTGGTGGCAAACCCCCCCCCCCACAACTGGGACACTCAATCCATCCACACAAGGCAGCTCATGGGTGATCCAACCTCCAGCAGGTGGAGCAATGACCCAAATAAGAATCTTATCTTAGCATGTGTCCTGGTAGTATGCTGCCCTAGCAGGCAGAAGAGCCGAGCACAAGTCACTTACAAATGCCTCCTCGTAATGTGAAGGCAACACTTTTTTTTTTTTTCCGGAATTACCAGAGGGCCACTAACCCTAGTGGCCTCGACGAGGAGAGGAAGCCAATGGCTTGTCGAAGGTCCCCCTATTTGCCTTTATCTTTTCCAGGATCATGGAAGGGGTAAAGACATGATCAATTGTCATTTTGAGTAGATTTTTGCTATACAGAATAGCCATACTTTCTTAGTTTTCATTATAATCTATATGTGGGGAAGGAGGCAAGGGGCAGCCCACCTGAACCATCTGGGCTCAAAATGAATGAGGACATGCCTCGGCCAACTGTATGGGGAATGCCAATGAGAAAGTCTCTTGAACTATTTATTTTCTATATTATTTTCTTTAGGGCAAGGTCTGACCACTCCATGAAAATGGAGAACAGTAATTGACATTTTAGGGTTAAATACTTTTTAACTTTTGCACTTGGCATTGATGAAAAGGATAAAACTAATCTGTAAAAATATTTCTTTTAAGGTTATTAAAACCATTTGTTACAAATGCTTATCTTTGGTGTAAACAAAATTATTTTAATATATACAGCATTTACACAATGAATTCCACTAAAGACATACTTTATATATAATTCTGATCACCCCAATAAAATTTAGGAATGATAGGATGCAATGACCAAATGCAACATTGCACTCAATGCCATAAAATTTCAGTATTCAATATTTCTGATAATCTAAGGCAACAATATTTGTATTCAACAGTTAATTATTTAGAACTTACTGAATAGATCTACAATATTTAAATTTACTGTATTTTCTAATCAATATGAGAATAATTTATAAAGTATAATACTGTACATAACAGGAATGTAAAGTTAAGAAATATCTAACAAGCAATAATGTTTCTGTATATGCCCAATACAGTGAGAGTATATATATACATATATATATAATCTTAATCTCCCTCCTCACTAATCTGGTGTAAATAATTAAGTTTTTTATTGTGTAACGTGGCCAAAAAATTCTCAATTCGTTCTTTCCTTGCCGATGCATAGGCAGCAATATGCTCTTGTGAAACTTTGTCTCCAAATTTAGTGTAGCAACATTCTATATCACTTTCTTCCACACTACACTGCCTTAGTGCCAGACATTCTTGCCGTGCTGCAGTAAGAGTGTGATAATGTCTCTGATAGTAAAATACTGCACCAAACAGATGCCATATGGTGAATTCTGGCCAAAGAACCTTCGTGAAAAACAGGCAAGAAAATGCACTCTGCCATAACAAAAAGTCAGAGAGGCGAACCTCTCCAGATGTGCGCACCAAAAGGTCGGGATCTCTCGAGCCTCGGGTATGTAGGCATTTTTCTAACAATTCTTCGGAAATGTCACTTGTCATTAGTTGTTCTTCATGTACTGCTTGTGACAGCTCACTCATCGCAAAGCTTATTTCTTCCCGTGATGTGTAAGCTAAAGCTAGGTTTAGAAAACACTTATTGTTGTGTCTAGAAGCCAGAATTGCTTCTCCTGCAAGTTTTCTGATGCGTTGGGGAAGAAGATTAAGATCACCAATCACCCTTATGCAAACTCCATGCTTGGCTAACTTTTCCTTTTCTTCTAATAATTTTGCAAACTTTTCTGCTGCAAGTTCCATCAGTCCATCAACCTCCTGCTTGGACCGTTTAAAATTTTCAATACTGAAGGCATATGCTGTAACCTCGTTGATTCCCAAATCTCGACACCAACACAAAACCTCGGCCAATTTGTGAAATCCTTGTGTGTGACCAGCAAGGGTGTCCTTGTGCTCCTTTCTAGCAAATCTGCGGTTACCATCCATTATAACAGCCAAGTGGTTAGGCACAGGTCCCACACGTAACATTCGAATTGCAGCCCACTCTGGCCATGTGCGCTTCTGTTCCACAATCCACGTCATCTTGGTGTTGAGCACCAATGCCTGTCAAAGAAATACAGGAGCGATTAAAATATTATTATTATTATTATTATTATTATTATTACACAAGCTGTAATAGTGTGAAAACTTACTGGAAATAAGTAAATGTCACCCCATTTAAAAAAAACGGCAGAAAGAGCTCAGCGGAGAACTATCGTCCAATCAGCTTGACATCAAACATATGCAAGCTCATTGAGAAAATCCTAAGGAAGAGAATCATTCACCATCTTTGAGTGAACAATCTTGTAAAATCGACACAACATTTGTTGATTTTACAAATTTTTCCACTTACCACTTATAGGTGGAAAAGATCAAAGTGGAGGAGGGGGGGGGGGAAAGAGACCTTCAACAAGCCACCAGCTTCCTATCCTCATCGAGGTCACTAGTGTCAGTGGCTCTCGAGTAAACAGAATCTGGTAAACTTGTTCGAACTGACCGACTTGGCCTGTTCTGTCCCAGCTCTGATCATTTCACCATTACCATTTTTTGTCGACCACCAAATAATAAAGCACTTCTTTATACAGTGGTAACTCGGTTTACGAATGCCCCTCTTTTTACGAACTTTTCGGATTACGAGCCCAATTTCTTCGGAAAATTTGAATTGAATTACGAACTTTACCTCGGGATACGAGTTTGTCGATACGCGTATGGCTAGCCTAGCGTGTGCTGACACGGCGATCGCGCCTCAGGTTCCCAGTGTCTCCTACCTAGTGATTATCCTGCCTGAATAATATGCAGGGAGTTAGTTTTTTTTTTTTGTCTATTTGAACATAAGAGTTGTTATTACATATTACTGTATATATTTTGCCATGGGCCCAAAGAAGGCCAGTGGTAAGGTTCAAGGCAAGAAAACACATGTGAGAATAACCATAGAGGAAAAACAAGAGGTCATTCGTAAACATGAAAATGGTACACGTGTTGTTGAACTAGCTAGGCAGTACTGTATATATATTATATAATATATATCATATATATATAATACATATCATATATATAATCAACCCGTTCTCGCAAATTTAATAAGTCAATATTGACTTATTAGTTGCGAGCATAGGTGACATACTAAACATAATAGTTTCCCTTTAAAAGCTTCATAGAAAACACCGACCTTACCTAACCTACTTAGTATGTTAAGATAAGCATCTTATTGCTTCGTAATTACAATTATTACCTAACCTATACCTATAATAGGTTAAATAACAATTGTAATTACGAAGCTATAAGATGCTTATTTTAACATACTAAGTAGGTTAGGTAAGGTCGGTGTTTTCTATGAAGCTTTTCAAGGGAAACTATTATGTTTAGTATGTCACCTATGCACGCAACTAATAAGTCAATATTGACTTATTAAATTTGCGAGAACGGGTTGATATAATATATATCATATATATATATATATATATATCATATATATATATATATATATATATATATATATATATATATATATATATATATATATATATATATATATATATATATATATATATATATATATATATATATATATATATATATATATATATATATATAATATATCATATATATATATATATATATATATATATATATATATATATATATATATATATATATATCATATATATATATATATATATATCATATATATATAATATATATATCATATATATATATATATATATATATATATATATATATAATATATTATATATGATATATATTTAATATATATATTTTTTTTTCCATATATTTTTTTATTTTTTTAATTTATATATATATATTATATAGGGGGGTACCACCACTGGTGTAATTATAGGGACCCACAGCCTCAGAGAAGGGAACACAGAGCACTCAGGGAAAAACTTGACATTTAACTCTGAATACGAAAGAGTGTTCACTTCTCCTACCACCCCCTTTTTTTTTTATTATGATGTACACTTTATTATGCAAGGTTATACAGTTACATATCTGATTTTATACAAAAAATGAACATTAAGAGGACACAAGAAAAAGTTCGCTTCCTAGAGGCTGTAGATTTCCTCGAACTCCTCCGACGCCGGGCAGGAACCGAGGATGCAGCGGGCATTTCCCCTCTGGATCGCGACACTGAGGCGCTGAAAGAGAAAACTTGCTGCTCTAGGGTCTCTTGTGGTGTCAATGAGCTTGGAACCAAGATCCTTAAGAAACCTTCTTGCACTCTCACCCCATGGGCCTAGGGTCTCAGACCCTATTGGAACGAAATTGTACTTTTGATCTAATTGCCTGTACTTGACTAACTTTTGTTTTTCTCTGTGTGTCGCTGCGGCTCCTGCCGTGCCGGCAGAGAGGGTGATGTATGTCGTTGCCAGGGTGGATACGCAAGTATAGTCCCATGCTAACTGCCTGCCACCCTTCCACGGACGCAGTGTGATTCCGTCTGGTCGGCCGGCAAAGCTAACAGAGTCACGGTTCAGTAGGTTGCGGGGCTCTCTCTCCGCTGGACACTGAGCAGAGGCAAGGCTTCTTTTAATGATGTCGTTGACTTCGTCGTGTCTAGTGTGCCAACCACCCGATTTTCCACAGTGCAGGCCATGCAATCCATATTCGTCAGCATCTGCCTCGCCGCAAATACACCTGTGAACAGTGTGGATAGGGGCAGCAAGGCGGAGAGCGACTGCAATACGGAGCTCCTGCGGATCAAGACGTGTGCCTGTCGCAGACATAGGGACTGCCAGAAGGAAGTCCCCTGCATGGGGAGCCTGCACAGCTGTGAGGCGTGCACGATCACTGGGGGTTGTTGCTGCCTCCAGCAAAGCTGTGGCTTCTTTGTCTACAATGGGGCTGTCCCAACTGGATTGTTTCTTGGCTTTCGGCATGGCTGGTCTGAGTGCTGGGTCTGTCATGGCACCCCATTTCGTGTCACATTCCGTGTAGTGGGGGTCCTGTATCCCCGCTACATCACTCAGGGTGTCAGGTAGAATTTCCTTAACCAGGTCATCTGATGCTGAGGAGGAAGACAGGAAGGCTGGGACTGCAATTTGGGTGGCGGTGCGGACACCCAAGCCACCGAGCCTGACAGGAAGAGTGGCTTGTTTCCACTGGCATTCGTTGAGAGAGAGGTTAACAACTTTTTCCAGCATGGTCTTCAGTAGGAGGTCATACTCGTCAAGCTTTGGGTTGTTGTAAGATGGGGCGCACCTCAGAAAGTAGGTTAGCCTCGGAAGGGATAGGCATTTGGTGAGGAGATAAAAAGCATCGTGGGCATCGATGTCACCTATTCTGTCTTCCATCCTCCTAAGGTCTGCGATTTTCTTGTCGAGGATCTCCTCAATGGTGTTAGACCCGAGGGGAGCTCCAAGGAGGGTGCTGTTCTCGGCCCTAATGACATGGGCTCCAGGCAAGGCAGACCTTATTCTAGCTACGATGTCTGGGTTGGAGGAGACTACTTCACACTTGGAAGGGTTCAGGACGAGACCCAGGCTTACTTCTTGCTCCCTTATTTTCCTGATATCTGACAAGAGGTGGTCTACGGTGCCAGCTATAGTGCCATCATCCAAAAACCAGATGTTGAACTCGCTGGACAAACTTTCGGTGATTTCTTTTAAGACTAAGCAGAAAAGAAGGGGAGCAAGAGGATCACCTTGCTGAACACCTTCACATGATCTGATTTCATGTTCACCAAAGAGCAGTTTTGACTCGCCACTGTAGCACGATAGTATGAACGGGTAGAGGGGCCGGAAATGGCGATGTACGGCACAAAGTACTGCATCTCTTCTTACCATGTTGAAGGCATTCTTAAAGTCCATTATATATATATATATTATTACGGATAAGCTGTTTAGTGTTAGTATAAGTAAGACTCTGTTTAGTGTTTTCAAGTTACAGTTGTATGTGTGTTTAACTAAAGTCTTTAAAAATGTAATAAGTTATTACGAAACGCAACGTCACGTCAGACTAAAAATAAATAAAAATGAATTTTGGAGAATTGATTTTTCAATTACCATTGTCAGTAAAAAGAAACATAAAGAGAAAATTCGTGTTAGAATTATTAATTTCACTTTTTCAATCATATTTAACAACATATGTTTACAAGAAAGACTGCTACCAAAATATACTAATACTGTATATATATATATGTTGTACCTAGTAGCCAGAACGTCGTACTCGGCCTACTATGCAAGGCCCGATTTGCCTAATAAGCCAAGTTTTCCTTAATTTATATATTTTTTCTAATTTTTTTCTTATGAAATGATAAATCTGTCTATTTTATTATGTATAAGTTAATTTGTTTAAATTTGAGGTAAAACTAACGTAGATATATGACCAAACTTAACCAACCCTACCTAACCTAACCTATCTAAACTTAACCTAAACTAACACAACTAAGTCAATAACTTATGTTCCTAATATAATAATAATAATTCAAATAAACTAATTGGATATTTGTTTTTGAAAATAAAGAAAACCACTCGGCCTATTAGGCAAATCCGTCCTTGCATAGTAGGCCAAGAAGTGCATTCTGGCTACTGTACTAGGTACGACATTATATATATATATATATATATATATATATATATATATATATATATATATATATATATATATATATATATATATATATATATATATACATACACACACAACCCGTTCTCGCACTTTCGTATAGTCAATATTGACTTATTAAATACGTGCATATGTGAATATTTTAGTTTACCTTGAAAAGCTTCATAGAAAACACCGACCTTACCTAACCTTCTTAGTATGTTAAGCATCTTATTGCTTCGTAATTACAATTATTACTCAACCTATACCTATAATAGGTTAAGTAATAATTGTAATTACGAAGCAATAAGATGCTTATTTTAACATACTAAGAAGGTTAGGTAAGGTCGATGTTTTCTATGAGGCTTTTCAAGGTAAACTAAAATATTCACAATAAATTAGTATGTCACATATGCATGTATTTTATAAGTCAATATTGACTATACGAAAGTGCGAGAACGGGTTGTGTATTATATATATATATATATATATATATATATATATATATATATATATATATATATATATATATATATATATATATATATATATATTATATATATATATTATATATATATATATATATATATATATATATATATATATATATATATATTATTAAATATGACCGAAAAAGTAAGATTAATAATTCTAACACGAATTTTCTCAATCTTTCGTACATTTCTTTTCACTGTTGGTGGTAATTCAAAAATCAATTCTCCAAAATTCATTTTTATTTCTAGTCTGACGCGACACTTGAGCGCGTTTCGTAAAACTTATTACATTTTCAAAGACTTTAGTTAACACATACACAACTGAATAGAACTTACACTTCTCCGATTTGTTTATATCTACATTTGAGTGAGGTGGATGGGGTGAGGTGGTATTTAATGAGGTATTAATTTCATCAACACAAGACAGAACACAAAAGAATGGGTATTGAATAGAAGTGATTGTAGAAAGCCTATTGGTCCATATTTCTTGATGCTTCTATATTGGGGCGGAGTCTTGAGGTGGGTAGAATATAGTTGTGCATTAATTGGCTGTTGATTGCTGGTGTTGACTTCTCGATGTGTAGTGCCTCGCAAACGTCAAGGCGCCTACTATCGCTGTATCTATCGATGATTTCTGTGTTGTTTACTAGGATTTCTCTGGCGATGGTTTGGTTGTGGGAAGAGATTATATGTTCCTTAATGGAGCCCTGTTGCTTATGCATCATTAAACGCCTAGAAAGGGATGTTCTTGTCTTGCCTATATACTGGGTTTTTTGGAGCTTACAGTCCCCAAGTGGGCATTTGAAGGCATAGACAACGTTGGTCTCTTTTAAAGCGTTCTGTTTTGTGTCTGGAGAGTTTCTCATGAGTAGGCTGGCCGTTTTTCTGGTTTTATAGTAAATCGTCAGTTGTATCCTCTGATTTTTGTCTGTAGGGATAACATTTCTATTAACAATATCTTTCAGGACCCTTTCCTCCATTTTATGAGCTGTGGAAAAGAAGTTCCTGTAAAATAGTCTAATAGGGGGTATAGGTGTTGTGTTGGTTGTCTCTTCAGAGGTTGCATGGCGTTTCACTTTCCTTCTTATGATGTCTTCGACGAAACCATTGGAGAAGCCGTTGTTGACTAGGACCTGCCTTACCCTACAGAGTTCTTCGTCGACTTGCTTCCATTCCGAGCTGTGGCTGAGAGCACGGTCGACATATGCGTTAACAACACTCCTCTTGTACCTATCTGGGCAGTCGCTTTTGGCAATTAGGTACATTCCTATGTTCGTTTCCTTAGTGTAGACTGCAGTGTGGAAACCTCCGCTCTTTTCCATGACTGTTACATCTAGAAAGGGCAGCTTCCCATCCTTTTCCATCTCGTAAGTGAAACGCAGCACGGAACTCCGCTCAAATGCCTCCTTCAGCTCCTGCAGATGTCTGACATCAGGTACCTGTGTAAAAATGTCAACATACCTGCAGTATATGGCCGGTTTCAAGTTCATGTCGACTAAGACTTTTTGCTCGATGGTACCCATGTAGAAGTTTGCAAACAGGACACCTAGGGGAGAACCCATGGCGACCCCATCTACTTGCTTATACATGTGCCCATCCGGGCTCAAGAAGGGTGCCTCTTAAGTACAAGCTTGGAGTAGTTTCCTTAGGATATTTTCTGGTATGTCAAGAGGAGTACAGGCTGGATCACGATACACTCTGTCGGCTATCATCCCGATTGTCTCGTCCACTGGTACATTGGTGAACAGCGATTCTACGTCCAACGAGGCTCTTATTCCTGTGGCCCGTGTGCCCCGCAGTAAGTCGACAAATTCCTTTTACGACTTCAGGCTGAAGGCGCAAGGGACATAAGGAGTCAGCAGGCCGTTGAGTCGCTTCGCTAGTCTGTACGTGGGTGTGGGTATCTGGCTAATGATTGGCCGAAGTGGGTTTCCAGGCTTGTGTGTCTTGGCATTTCCATACGCATATCCAGGTTTATATTCCCCAATAATCTTTGGCAGGTGGAGTCCTGATTTCTTGGCGTTCACAGTTTCGATTAGTCTGTTAACCTTTGCTTTCAATTCGGCTGTAGTGTCCTTCGTTACCCTTTGGAATTTAGTTTGGTCAGAAAGTATGAGGTTCATTTTCGCCAGATATTCGTCTTTTTTAAGAATGACGTATATTGGCGACTTGTCACCTCTCCTGACAACTATCTCCTTGTTCTCACGAAGGCTTTTGGCTGCCGCTTTGAGCTCGGGGGACAGTACAGTATGGTGCTTCTGTAATTGCCTCGATTCTTTCCTCCTTCCGCAATAAGTTCTGCGTGTTAGAATTATTAATCTTACTTGTTCGGTCATATTTAATAATATATGTCTACAGGAAAGCCTGCTACCAAAATATACTAATATACTAATATATATATATATATATATATATATATATATATATATATATATATAATGTCGTACCTAGTAGCCAGAACGCACTTCTCGGCCTACTATGCAAGGCCCGATTTGCCTAATAAGCCAAGTTTTCATGAATTAATTGTTTTTCGCCTACCTAACCTACCTAACCTAACCTAGCTTTTTCGGCTACCTAACCTATAGAGATAGGTTAGGTTAGGTAGGGTTTGTTAGGCTCAGTCATATACAGTATCTATGTTAATTTTAACTCGAATAAAAAAAAAATTGACCTCATACATAATGAAAGCTTTATCATTTCATAAGAAAAAAATTAGAGAAAATATATTAATTCAGGAAAACTTGGCTTATTAGGCAAATCGGGTCTTGCATAGCAGGCCGAGTATGACGTTCTGGCTACTAGGTACTACATATATATACACAGTATATATATTATACATATATATATATTATTGTGTGTAAATCATGAAAATTAACATGTGATGAAAAATGTGACAGTATCAGACCATGGAGGAAGAATTGAAACAGGAATTTCCTTAAGTACTTTCATATATTAATACATCTTGAGAAGGAATATGATTATATTCCTTCTGAATATATATATATATATATTATATATATAATGTCGTACCTAATAGCCAGAACGCACTTCTCAGTCTACTATGCAAGGCCCGATTTGCCTAATAAGCCAAGTTTTCATGAATTAATTGTTTTTCGTCTACCTAACCTACCTAACCTAACCTAACCTAGCTTTTTTTGGCTACCTAACCTAACCTTACCTATATATATAGGTTAGGTTAGGTTAGGTAGGGTTGGTTAGGTTCAGTCATATATCTACGTTAATTTTAACTCCAATAAAAAAAAATTGACCTCATACATAGTGAAAAGGGTAGCTTTATCATTTCATAAGAAAAAAATTATAGTAAATATATTAATTCAGGAAAACTTGGCTTATTAGGCAAATCAGGCCTTGAATAGTAGGCTGAGAAGTGAGTTCTGGCTACTAGGTACGACATATATATATACAACTTTAGAACACTTTCCCACCAGGAGACTCGAACCCTAGCCAGCACAGAAGCCTTCCAGCAACTGGCATAACAGGTACGCCTTAACCCTTTTATATATATATATATATATATATATATATATATATATATATATATTATATATATATATATATTATATTATATATATATATATATACACATTATATATATATATATATATATATATATATATATATATGTCGTACCTAGTAGCCAGAACGCACTTCTCAGCCTACTATGCAAGGCCCGATTTGCCTAATTAGCCAAGTTTTCAAGAATTAATTGTTTTTCGACTACCTAACCTACCTAACCTAACCTAACCTAACTTTTTCGGCTACCTAACCTAACCTAACCTATAAAGATAGGTTAGGTTAGGTTAGGTAGGGTTGGTTAGGTTTGGTCATATAACTACGTTATTTTTAACTCCAATAAAAAAAATTGACCTCATACATAATAAAATGGGTAGCTTTATCATTTCATAAGAAAAAAATTAGAGAAAATATATTAATTCAGGAAAACTTGGCTTATTGGGCAAATCGGGCCTTGCATAGTAGGCCGAGAAGTGCGTTCTGGCTACTAGGTACGACATATATATATATATATATATATATATATATATATATATAAGCTGCATGAACGCGCAAGCCATAGATCACTAAGAACTCTTTAACCCGGCATGGATTCGAACTCATGCCGTCCAGGATCACCCCTAAACGTACACAGTACTGTGACCACCGCACGATCATATCTTAATGATCATTGGTGAGGTGGTCATGGTACTGTGTACGTTTAGGGGCGATCCTGGACGGCATGGGTTCGAATCCTGGCCGGGTCAAAGAGTTCTTAGTGATTATATATAATATATATATATATATATATATACATATATAATATATATATATATATATATATATATAATTTGTTAATTTTCTGATAGAATGATAAAAGCTTTGATTGCATTACATATGATTTTAATTGTTATTAGCTGGAGTTAAAACTAACATGTTTGATGAAACTAACATAATTAAATTAGTAATTCATGTTCTTAATATTGCAATAAAACAATTTGAAAAGAAATATTTGAAAATAACGAAAACCACTCTGCTTGTTAGGCAAGCTGGGTCTTGCATGCTTTTATAGGCTATTAGGTACATATTGATGTAGCCTAAGCTACGTTATATTCAGTTACTTTACAACCTACTGATACAGTACTGTATACAGTAGAGTTGTGGGTTAGACTAAAGTAGTTTGTACAGTAGGGAGCCAGACCATGGAGGTGGCGTGGTGTGAGGGGGCCAGGCTGATGTGGCCATGACCACACCACTTGCACCATCACCATCCACTTGCACCCTCACCATCCTCCTACACCATCACCCGCCGCTAAACAATATTGGATCAGTCATCTCTTCACTCTCACCGCTTGCCCTCGGTAGACAATCCCCGAGCCAGAGAGCGGCTCGAATACTCACAGGGGGATGGTTATATATGGTATTATGGAGTGGTAGTAGCCTCCAGTACTCTCGGCCTCTCTCTCTCCCTCCACAACACTCGCTAACTTCCCTCTCCAACACTCGCTAATCTTAGCGCTCGTCTTGCATATACACTACACTCACTTATCTCAATTAATTGACCCTTAACATATTAAACGTTTAGTTTGATTTTTTTGTGGCTGCTGTGATGTTTGCAGGTTGCTTTAGTATGTTATATGATGCATACTTATGTGAGATCCAGCTATTTAGCTAGGCGCTATTATCTATTGTTCAAATGACGTGGATATATAGGCCTAGGCTGAGGGCAGGTGTCCTAGCTGCTGGGATGGTGTTCCTAGGCCCTTTAAGTGTTCCTAGGCCCTTTAAGTGTTCATTGGCCCTTTAAATTTTTAGCGGAAATTTGCTAAGCTTATAAAATTTGGCAAGCAACTTTGGAAGACATCTTGGGGTATTTAAATCATATATCAATTTTGATATTCCGTTTAGAACATATTCATGAAGAGAACTTACATTATATGTGAAAGCAATAGGTGAATAAGATACAGAAACAGATAAATTTAACCACATCCCATATATAGCTAGAAAACTATGCCACGCCAAATTAAAAGACAACCAATCCATTCAGCAAAGTATCCAAGTACCTTTCAGCATTTTTTTATTTCTTGCCCTTAACTTGACTTTTAGCAAAGACACCTGATTATCCAACTTGTTAGGCATAAAACGTGGCGTTGGGGTATGAGAGGAGGTAGAGGGGGAGGAGGAGAGAGGAGATAATAGAGGGAGGAGAGAGGAACTAGTTGGTGGGGCGGCGTGGTGCGTGACGTCACGGGGCGGGAGCGCGGCGCCCCAGCTCGCCACAACGCCAAGACTCAGGACCAAAATGCACCTTTCAACTCTAACACAGTGACCTCGGGTTTTGCGCAGTTTTCCCTACATTCTGCTATGGATGTGGGACCTTCGACCTCACGGTGTAACAGTGTAGTGACTAAGCGATACAGTGCCCTGGAAATCGGTGAGTTCTTGGCCAAAGTGAGGTGAGAAATGGTATTTGAAAGAGAGGTGAATTTCGCGGTTTAACCAAGAGTCTTTCTCTGTTGCAGAACTGAACTATTTGATCGCCAAGTATTTATCTGCTGGTCCTTGCAAGAAGGCTTATAAGGTAAGGTGCTGTCCCGTTAGAGTGAAAGATAGGCCCGTAAACTGGCTAGATCTGAGACGTTTTTCTCTCTCTTGCAGGCGCTGAGGGCCGAAATAGAGGAAAATGAGGTAAGTTTCACATGTTGTGGTATCTGTCAGCTGATGGAACACGTGGTTTTGTGTACATAGTGAGATGCCGGTGGTGGGGGGTGGGAGGGGCTGCCACCCCCTCCCACCACCCCCCACCACCACCAACAAACACACACTAAACTCCTCTCAACGTTTGCAATATTTCCACAGCTCCTGCCCCATAGATATGACTGGCTGGGAAACGTGCACCACAACACCTTCGACCAATGGGTGAGTTGCGGCCAAAAATAAATCCCAATTATGATTTTTTAAAAATACTAACGATTAGATATTTTTTTGTGTAGTATAATAGTCGTTTAGTGGGTTAATAAATAAATGTTAGTAAGAAAGTGAGGAGCCACTTGTGAGGAAGAGTGAGAGTTGTGAGGAGTGGTGAGCGGCTCCTCTCCCAGCCGCTCGCCCTCCACCACTGCCCACACATTCCTCATTTCTCTCTCCCTCTCCGCCGCCGCCTCTCACTCTACACCTCGCCATTTCTCCTGTCGTTTATGCCCTCCATCTAATTACATCATCAGATTTGGTCCAGCTCCCCGGTTTTTCCCTGTATTTACAAAGATAGAAAAAGTGTAATTGGTACCTGGAGGTGGGTGGGTGGCAGCCAACCAGGGCGCGGGTTGGGACACTGAGCAGCGAATGAGCGCGCGGGACGGCCCAGCTCTGGCGCTCTTCTCGGGCTGTGATTGGTGCAGGAGGAGGAGGGGGGCGGGGCTTGGCGGTAGGGATCAATATGGCGCAACAAGGCCACCGCCGCCTAACAAAGACCGCCAGACCGCTATTGGAAAGCGTTCCGCTCTTGTTGCTCTCTATCTCTACTCCTTATTATAACCTAAAGCTATAAACGTTTACGCTTATTACAACACACTCACTACTCCGGAAAGCATTAAGCGCATCCTAAAATTGCGCTGCAACTAGTTTGAAATACAAACCTTCCTCTTCTCATTTTAATTATTTTAATAGATTATGGAATAAGGGTGTTGAGGTGTATGATCAGCTGTGATAACCTACACTACTCACACTGCACCACCATCTCTCGCTCGCGTTTATTTGTTATTTATTCATGTATACAAGAAATCTTACATTCTTGTAAGAACATGGGGGCACTACTATAATTTCCTCACGACTGTGCAACACGTTCATTAATTTACAGAGTATATAAACCCTTTTCTCACAGCAAATATAATAGTGAATCAGATGGATCATTTGTAATAATAGTTAAATCTGATGAGCGAAAGTTTTCACCCCACAGCGTGATGTTGCATTAAAGGGTCCCGGTAGTACAGTTAGCTTCGTTCTCGACTCTCAATCTAGAATAACGGGTTCGACTCCCGGGCGGGACAGAAATGGTTGGGTGCATTTCCTACCACCTAATGCCCCTATTTAACTTGCAGTAATTAGGTATTCAGGTGTTATGGGGTTGTATCCTGGGCGGGGTCAGTAATTCGGCCTTGTGGGGGGGGGGGCGCCATATAAACCTAACGTGTGAATACTCTGTTCCCGACACAATGAATTATTATTATAATAGTATGTAGTACAGTGGCAACGTTCTCGACTCCCAGTTGAAGATACCCAGATTCGGTCCCCGGGCTGGGGTAGAGCCGATTGGGCACGTCCTCTTTCACCTTGTGGGGGTTGCTTCGTGGGGAATGTCAGTAAACGCAAACCTCACACACACACACACACACAGATACGAAATGACAATATCTTAGTCCATCCTGGACAGATGGCCGTGCTGCTGCCGCTGGCAATCTCGTCAGTGGGGTTTCTAAAAGTTACACACACATACATACAGCTAATATCCCTGACCAGGAGGCACTAGTTGAGCTTCAGTTTAAAAATGCCATCAATCAAGTCATTAGAAATGTTGTCCTCCGAGCCGTACGTAGACATTTCCCCTCTCCTTTATCCATTCATTCACAAGTGCTAGTGGTGACTAAGCTTCTCTTTGGGCAGCACGAAATAGACTCGGGTGAAATTGAAATAAGTTTATTGAGGTAAAATACACACAAAGGGATGAGGTAGCTCAAGCTATTCTCACCCCGTTAGACTGGTGGTGTTCAACAGGGTAATCCCTTGGGTACCCTCTTCTTTTTCTTAACTGTCAAAGAGGTCATTGATAGTCTTTTACAAGCGAGGTAAACATCTGGTACCTGGATGATGGCACTCTTGCTGGAACTCCAAAAACCATTATGGGAGATATGAGGAAAATCCAGGAGTAAGAAACACTTTTAGACCTCATTTTCAATACATCCACGTGTGAAATAATCACTGAGCCAGCTACCTGCATCCCTCCATTAGGGAGCCGGTGGCTGAGCGGACAGAACACTGGATGTGTGATCCTGTGGTCCCGGGTTCGATCCCGGGCGCCGGAGAGAAACAATGGGCAGAGTTTTTCACCCTGATGCCCCTGTTACCTAGCAGTAAATAGATACCTGGGAGTTAGTCAGCTGTCACGGGCTGCTTCCTGGGGGGGGGGGGAGGCCTGGTCGAGGATCGGGCCGCGGGGACACTAAGCCCCGAAATCATCAATCAAATCATCTCAAGATAACCTCCTGGGTGTGCCCCGCATTGGCTCTTTCAATCGAGCAGGTCCTGTATGCATAAATCACTGACCTAAGGTGGATGCAGAACAAAACTGATGGACGCTCATGATACACTCTACCTCTTCACAAGATGGCTGACTTGAGATGTTCTCCATACCACAGCAGTGCTAAATTGAGTGTGACACCCTCTTGAAGTCCCATGTTTGAAGAAAGTTCTCTACCTCCCATTGGAGGCTTCGGTGGGAACGAGCAACCCTTCCTGTCAGTTGTTAGTCATGGGGTCTGCACAGCCTCCCAGATTGCTCTACCAGTCCTTCTTACCTTCTATGCGTCAAACACTTAGAGGAAATCAATCCTACCACAACCTCTGGGTGAGTCAGCTTGGCTACACGATCATCTTGAGGTTATCTTGAGATTATTTCGAGGCTTTAGTGTCCCCGCGGCCCGGTCCTCGACCAGGCCTCCACCCCGAGGAAGCAGCCCGTGACAGCTGACTACCTCCCAGGTACCTATTTTACTGCTAGGTAACAGGGGCATAGGGTGAAAGAAACTCTGCCCATAGTTTCTCGGCGGCGCCCGGGATCGAACCCGGGACCACAGGATCACGCGTCCAGTGTGCTGTCCGCTCGATCATGCTTTCATTGATTGTTCAAATCAGTGGGAAGCCCTTGCAACCCCAACACTTGGACCAGGACCACTAAAAATACAAACAGTCCAACAGGGACAACCCAGCTGAGGACAAAAAATAGCTAATACCGTGCTCAGTGCTGCAACATCACATCTCACAGGGGCCGTGGCTGAATGGACAGCGCTTGGGGCTCGTAATCCCAGGGTTCGGGTTTGATCCCGGGAGCCGGCGGAAACAGATGGGCACAGTTTCTTTCACCCTGATGCCTCTGTTACCTAGCAGTTAATAGGTATCTGGGAGTTACAGTTGTTACGGGCTGCTTCCTGTGTGTGTGTGTGTGCACTCACCTAGTTGTGCTTGCGGGGGTTGAGCTCTGGCTCTTTGGTCCCGCCTCTCAACCGTCAATCAACAGGTGTACAGGTTCCTGAGCCTATTGGGCTCTATCATATCTACACTTGAAACTGTGTATGGAGTCAGCCTCCACCACATCACTTCCTAATGCACTTCACTTCCTAATCACTTCCTTCATTTGTCAACCACTCTGACACTAAAAAAGTTCTTTCTAATATCTCTGTGGCTCATTTGGGCACTCAGTTTCCACCTGTGTCCCCTAGTGCGTGTGCCCCTTGTGTTAAACAGCCTGTCTTTATCAACCCTGTCGATTCCCTTGAGGATCTTGAATGTGGTGATCATGTCCCCCCCTAACTCTTCTGTCTTCCAACGAAGTGAGGTTTAATTCCCGTAGTCTCTCCTCGTAGCTCATAGCTCTCAGCTCGGGTACTAGTCTGGTGGCAAACCTTTGAACTTTTTCCATTTGTCTTATGCTTGACTAGATATGGACTCCATGCTGGTGCCGCATACTCCAGGATTGGTCTGACATATGTGGTATATAATGTTCTAAAAGATTCCTTACACAAGTTTCTAAAGGCCGTTCTTATGTTAGCCAACCTGGCATATGCTGCTGCTCTTATCCTCTTGATATGAGCTTCAGGGGACAGGACAGGTCTGTGTGTGTGTGTGTGTATACACACTCCTATTTGTACTCACCTATTTGTGCTTGCGGGGGTTCAGCTTTGGCTCTTTGGTCCCGCCTCTCAACTGTCAATCAACTGGTGTACAGATTCCTGAGCCTACTGGGCTCTATCATATCTACATTTGAAACTGTGTATGGAATCAGCCTCCACCACATCACTGCCTAATGCATTCCATCCGTTAACAACTCTGACACTGAAAAAGTTCCTTCTAACGTCTCTGTGGCTCATGTGGGTACTCAGTATCCACCCGTGTCCCCTTGTTCGCGTCACACCAGTGTTGAATAGTTTATCCTTGTTTACCTGTCGATTCCTGAGGTTTTTGTAGGTTGTGATCATGTCTCCCCTTACTCTTGTCTTCCAGTGTCGTAAGGTGCATTTCCCGCAGCCTTTCCTCGTAACTCATGCCTCTTAGTTCTGGGACTAGTCTAGTGGCATACCTTTGGACTTTTTCCAGCTTCGTCTTGTGCTTGACAAGATACGGGCTCCATGCTGGGGCCGCATACTCCAGGATTGGTCTTACATATGTGGTGTACAAGATTCTGAATGATTCCTTACACAGGTTCCTGAACACTGTTCTGATGTTAGCCAGCCTCGCGTATGCCGCAGACGTTATTCTTTTTATGTGGGGTTCAGGAGACAGGTTTGGTGTGATATCAACTCCTAGATCTTTCTCTCTGTTCGTTTCATTAAGTACTTCATCTCCTATTCTGTATCCTGTGTCTGGCCTCCTGTTTCCACTGTCTAGTTTCATTACTTTGCATTTACTCGGGTTGAACTTCAACAGCCATTTGTTGAACCATTCACTCAGTCTGTCTAGGTCATCTTGTAGCCACCTACTATCGTCCTCAGTTTCAATCCTCCTCATAATTTTTGCATCATCGGCAAACATTGAGAGGAACGATTCTATACCCTCTGGAAGATCATTTACATATATCAGAAACAGTATAGGTCCAAGGACTGACCCCTGCGGGACTCCACTCGTAACGTCTCGCCAATCTGAGACCTCAC